ACACTTCAGGAAAGCAGATATTGGAGGATGACAAATATAACTTGTAGTCCAAAACGTGCATTAAACGCAGAGCCTGATGACAAGCATTATATTGAATCTAGTATGTATGGGTGCAGCTAATCCCCTGCTGACTCCTCCACAAGGGAAATATGACTCGAATATACCATCTAGTAAAGATCAATCTAAACCAGGCAAGCCCTCTGGCGTGCAAAGTACATCAGCAGGTACTTACAGTGTTTATTTACACAGAGGCCATTAGTCACAAATTAATGGGTTGGAGCAGATAATCTCTTCTTATTAACAGTTATGTGCCATGATAAACATAACCATTAACGCACGGGTATATTGGCTTAAACTGGTAGGCTAATTTGTGTAGCCGAGTGTCGCAGCAGAATAGGAGCTGGAGCTGCATGATTGTACCAAAACCTCTGCAAAAACCTTCAAAAGGGAACATGTCATAAAGCCAATGTGTGCATATAACCAAGAGATAAAATTAAAACCTGAGGGTGTAAAGCATGTGTTTAGCAACAATAAAAAGAAAATGATCTTATCCAATTAAAGTAATTCATTCAATTAATATCATTTATATTTTAGTAGCGAGCAGTTACCTTGAGAGTAAACTAGCAGTCTGCAAATGACATGACATTGCCAACAAGAAAATAAGCAGAGCAGCTGTACAAAAGAGCAGTGAGGTGCTCAAATTAAGCACTGTAGCAACACAATGGAAAACTATGCATTTCAGACAACACACATCAGACACATTAGCTTCTATCCATTCAGGTTTTAAGTCAAGTATCTGTCATGACTTTTACAGAGCTTTAGTTGCCTAAATGCACATGTGCTTTTCCTGCAAGAAAAAAAAGTTTTAAAAAAAATCATGAGAAAGACAATCAGCATCATCCTGCTCTCCTTGTCAGTGTCACTACAAAAAAGTTGGAGGGAAAAACTCCCTTCATTCACACCAGAAGGCGCGAAGTACCAAAACAAGCAGCTCAATGATTTAACACTGCAGAACATGTCTGGCTGCAAGCATCTCACGCTTGCTGATAACAGCCACTCATGAGCACACAACCAGCAGCACCGCAGAGCCTGCAGCTACTGAGCTTGTTGAAGTGGAGCTGTGGTCCCCTCGCATCCCAAAAGACTAAAAGTACAGCCGAGCTGACACACTAAAAAACTTCAGTTTCTGATCCTATGAGAATTGTTGTCATGACGCCATTATGCCCGTGCGCATTTGTAATCTGAGCAATGGCAGGGATACACCTGGAGCAGCTGCCGGACAGGTAGCACACAAATCTTTCTCCCAGCCACAACGCTGTTCAACACGGCTGGACTGTTGGCAGCCGAGAATACTAACAGTAGCTTGAGATTTTAGCGGCGTCTGCAGACTTTTCTGAGTATCATACTGCAGCCAGCCTGGCTGATTGAGAAGAGTGGCTTACACCATTCGATTACAAAGGGCGCATTGCAGCCAGAGGATATGTTGAGAGAGAGCAGCAGTGCTCTTGAGTCACTCAGCTCTCTTAAATCGTGAGTGAGAGATGTTTTGTTTTCTAGGATACTTAAGACCTGTTCAAAAACTTTAAAATGTTGTGTGAAATTTCAACCAAGTGGTACCATTTTCCACCAGTGAGGAAGATGTTTTACCAGTTGTACATGGTATGAAAATCAGCAGAATTACAGATTATAACATGTGTATAAGTATCTAAAATCTTTTTTTTTTTTTTTTTTTTTTTTTTAAAGGTGCCTTTAAAAATTGCAGGCTAGATTTGGTCCCAGGTTTTATAGATTGACTTTATGCACACATTGGTTTGTCAATATAGGGCAAACTCACCACCAACATAATAAATGTTCTGTGCTGATCTGCTGTCCTCTTTCCAAATGTCCTGTGTTCGCATCAGGTTAAACTGGGAAACCAGCTTCTCTGAAAGATTATTTATTGGCTTAACAAGATGTTTCTTATTCTAGAGGATCCTGATATATAACCAGGAAACTCTCCAGGCAAAAGAAACTAAAGGAGTTGAGGTAGTTTAAAGTTTGTCGGGCAGAAACTAATTTAATTATGAAACATTATATAAACATCCTCGAGACCAATTTACACCTACTCAGCAGGCTGTAAACAGGACTTTGAAAACCTGCAGAATACATATAATTGAATCATTGAGTTTTTGGGGCGACTATGTGCGGGCAGAATGATCACGATCGACTTAAAAAAGATTTAGTCCATCAACGGCTAAGCGATGACAGACCTGACTAGGTCACGTTCACATGCTTCCAAAGGAGGAGGTAAACAAATTATCCTGTTATGTGCTGTCAATGACGGTGCGTATTAGGGCCGGAGAACCCAGTGGGAAATCACACAGTAATGATTAGAGATTCAGAGCCTGCCAGTGGGTATGTGTATCAGCTGTCAGAGAGTGAGCACTTCCCTTAACCAGGATGTGCCCAACAAGCACTCCTGTCTATTTCAGACACAAACCAGTCAGTGAACGCAACATGGGAAAGAAGACAACCAGTTATTCCGATTTCAACAGAAAAAAAAAAAACCTATTCTGAACTTTAATTTACAAGCACTAATTACTTTTTCATTACTCAGATTTAATTTACCTCTAGCATAAAAATGCATTACTCGCCTATGTCATGATTTGCATTCCCAAAGAAACATTTCTTTAAAATCACACATCATGGTACTGTGTGATACAGAGGAGTCAGAAAGGTTACTGATGCGAGCCAACTGCCTCAAGAAGGAACCGCTCACCAGCCCACATTGCACATGGCAACAGCTAGAACAATCAGTGTTTTTTTTTTGTTTGTTTTTGTTTTTTTTAGAAACTAACAGCACTCTGTGATATTGGATGGAGAAGTCTGCTAAATACTGCCACAGTTTATGGACTTATCTGCAGAAGGACTCTCTCTCATCCCGCGGTTTATATTAGACTATTCATAACCTGCAAAAAAATATTAGCAATACATTCGCCTTGATCTAATCTGAAAATGTGGAAACTAACCTCTGGAAAATTGAACCCATAATTCTAATCTGTGTCTGGCTCTTAAGACTCCCGGCTTCATTTCTGTGAATCAGGTTATAATTTGTCTACTTCCTGTGTTTCATTCACAGGAAGGTTTGCTGGTTTGAATGTTAACCGTCGCAAAAAGGAGGGAAAAACAACCTGTTCACATACCCAAGCTTTCGTCCCGGCTCAAACCTCATCGCTACAAGGTGTGATGTGCTTCTTCATTTGAGGCCAAACCTCCATCCTTCATGCTGGAGCAGACAAGAGGATTGATTGCACTATATTGGCCCTGTAATTTTCCATGTTGGAGGGGGTCACTCAGTCAAGAAAAAGGAGCAGACAGCCTTTGGCTCCACCTCTTGAAATGTGAATTAAACTGGAGTTCTTTCTCAGCGATGCAGCAAGATCAACCTAAAAGTTCTCCTGCAATGAACAAGTTCCAAAAGTTCTCCTATAATGAACAAGTCTTGTCCTCCTGGATTGTACAGTGTTGACTGGCAGGGGTAAATACACTGAGCAATCACACAGGTAGTCACTGTAAAACTTATCCTCAGATAACTTCAATGGTAACAGTAGGATACAGATTTGTGCGGTCTTAAAACAGTGAGGAAAAGGCTTAAAGCAAAAGACAAAAACAATTACAGAGCCTATGCCAGAGCTAACATCAGAGAGGAGGGTGTAGAGACAAAAAGTCTGGCAGAGATGATGGAAGACAAAATATAAGACATTAGAGGAAGCAGTGCATCAGGCTCTGAATTCTTCACTTTCTGATGTTAAAAGCTCAACTATCAGAGCGTATCTGCATTTTAAGTAGTAAACAAAACTCCAGAGCAGCAGTACATTTACCTTTTATTTTTACAAACATATTCACACACATTCATGTCAGTAGATCTATTTTTATACACAATGCTTGGAATTGGCAACAATATGACATGCATATATAAACAGCATAAGTAACCGTGGCAGTGAGATAATTTGGTCAAATTGGTTCTCTAAAAACCTTCAAAAACATTACAATGCCTGTTAAACAAGCGGCACTGGTGCAGACATGTTTTTAATCCTCAATGCTAGACCTTCAACCCATAATTATTAAACTGACAAAAATAATAATGGGAAGGAGGTGGGAAAGGAACAGTGCAAGAACAAAGTGTTTTAAAGATAAAATCTTCAGTTGCTAATGTCAAGTAACATTAAAATGACATGGAAAAAAACTTTTTAAAAAACAAATCAATACAGAAATTTCAAAATAGGTTATAGTTTTCACTGTCATTTAATAGTAAAGTCATCCTTTGCTCTGTCTGGTTGGGATGCACTTTTGCCATTGCTCCGTGTGAGTGAGAGTTTTCAAGCTGGGCTGTTCATTACTGGTCGTTCAGTCCTTGATCAGACATTTGACAAGTGATTAATCAGGCAGGCTGCCTCAGCGGAGCAACTGAAAGTTAATTTCCACACTTCTGCATGCAGAGATGAATTTAAAGCATGTGCAGGCGGAGCAGTGGCCTTAGTCATGCTTTCAGGGTGACCCCTGCCCCTTGCGTTTGCAAAGATTATATCCAGTTTGACAGATCCACTCTTATCTTCATCATGCACCAGCATACAACGCACATCTGAGCACTGGTGAAGACACAAGTCATGGAATTGGGGATGGGAAGGCGCTATGGCAGAGTGCAGAGTTGGGTGAAAGACCGCATCCTCCCTCACCAGACCAAGGTGGGTGTCTGTAAGGAAAAACTGGACCATATGTTCACGGTTGGTACCGGGGCTGATGCGCACTGCCACACTTGTGTACAGTAATATCTGCACCTCTTCCAGAGTGATTGTTTCTTGATCCATGTCACAATGAAGAAGACAAACCAGATCAGCAAGATTCTTTTGAAATTGACAGCTAACCCTTAAACCAGCATCCAGCAGCAGGTCGGGTATGTGGACCTGCCAGTCTAGAGACATTTTCATCAAGTTTCCACTGAGTAGAGGATGATGAGATACCTTGCTGTCCCCAGTGCACATAACATCAAGTATGGCCCAGCACAGCTCCTTAGTGTGCTCCTGGCTGTGGGTGTAGACACCTAGGATACTTTCTTCTGTGGTGCCCATCAAACGCAGACTGTGGCCTGCTAAACCTATCTGAATCTCCTTCAGCTGCACCAAAGGGAGGTGATAGAACAAAGCCAGAGCCCCAGAGTCTGTGGTCAGGGTATAGAGGACAGTTTCCATCAGGATCAGGAGGGCGGGCTGGGGCTCAGGTTGTTTGCAATTAGCCACATTTAGCCAGTAGAGAGCTACAATCCTCTGGAAGGTAGGCACTAACATGGAAATGACAGAATTTAAAGTGTCCATCATGTCTTGCAATGGCAGGCTTTGTAGGCTCAAAAGGGAATCAGGAAATTCTATCAAGGGTTGAATGGCAATTTGGAAAGTCCTCTGGCTTTCTAATGACTGATCTCTGTCTGCACAGGTAACCTCTGTCTCATTTAGTTGTTCCAACGGCAACAGCTCTGTAATACATTTGTCTCGGTTTACATGGGTATCAACCATGTGTTGCTCTTCTGGTGACTGCAGGTCACTGATACTCCTGTTCGTTCTCCAGATATCCTCTGGGACAAGTTGCACATCATCTACCTCGTTTAAGGTTTGTGTTGGTGTCAGGGCTGGGAGTTGTGTGTTAGGATGAATGCAGCCCTGAATCATCTGAGCTGCCTCTTCAGGCTGAAGGGCTTGAGTGATATCCATCTGGATGTACTGTATAAGAGGTAGTCCTTTCACTATGGAAAAAATGCGACTGTCCCTGAAAAAAGAGAAGACGAAACTCCCTTTGACCATGGAGAAAACCTGGCTGTCCTTCACGACAGACAGAACATTACTATCCCTGACCAGAGAGATGATATGACTGGACCAGCGGGCCCCAACAGCCTGTAATCTGACTTCCATGACTTGCTGCAAAGTTGTCGGAGAGTTCCAAAGGACACGTCCTGCATCCTGCACAATCCAAGAAACTCTGTTGAACAAAGAGCCGAGCCCTGAGCTTTGAACTGTGGCTGCTGCAGCCTCAGTCACACACACTCCCGGGATCTCTTCCAAATCTTTAGATTCAGTCATCTCTCCACAACTGAACTGGCCCTCGAAGGTGGTTTCTTTGGGCGGACAGCATGCCGCCTCACTGCTCAGAGGCTTTCTGTCGAGCTGAGAATGAGTGCTGGTCTGTGGCAGGACCGGCATGGAGCTACTTCCTCCTCTGCTCTGCAGGTGGGACATGCTGCCTAATGAGATCCCACCAGAGCCAGGTCTCCCCTTGTAGCAGTCAGTCACAACACCTTGGATCTCATTAGCATTCCCTTCTGGCTTCATGCCACATCCATCACCTGGGCCCAGGACACTTTTCTGCTGGAGGCTGGCATCCCTTGACCAAACCTCTTCTCTCTTACAACTTGCAACTTCAGCCTCAGTCTGAGCTATCCTCTGCAGCCTTTCAGACACGAGCCCTGGCCCTGATTTATGACACAAGTCCCTCTCCTGCTCCTGGCCATCCCTGGTGCTTACTCCACCCTGTAGTGTCTCTCCATCCAACTCAAAACTAGCGTGAGGGACGAGATGTCTTCCAGGTATGGCCTAGTTTACATTGTGTAGGTGGATGAGAGAAGGAGAGGTAATAAGAGGAAATAAAACTTTCAAAGATTTTAAACAATCCTGTTTTATGAAATGTTACACACATTGCTGAAACAAGTTTCATTCAGCGCCCTTTAAAAACATACCTTTATTTATGCATTCAATTATACTTGAACACATAAAGGCACGCATAGGAAAATGAAGCGAATAACATAGTACATTTATAAACAACACTTTTTCAAGTGTGCTCTCATTGCACTGTGCTTTCACAAAGTGAGTGTCATTTTCTTTGAAACCCCTACAGGAAAATGTAATAGGGTTTAAATATGTGCATAATAAACAAACAAGCCAAGGGAAAAAGTATTTCATGGCTCATAAATATCTTCATTGGGCATGGCAAGAGAGTGGGTAGGTATTGACATTTGCTCTGTTTTACAAAGACAAAAGGGACTAGAACTTCAGTTGCACAGTGACAACACAGTCACTATAAGCAAAACCGCAGAACAAAGTGTTTTGGCTTTATTCAATTTACTTGGAAACAATGAAGTCCTATCTAACTGCACACTGAAATATCAGTAGCTTATTGACTGAACCCATATTTCTATTATCTTAATCAAGAGTGCCATTTGTTCTGACTGCAGGAAAAAAAATGAATACATACTGTAGTCATGAACTTCTCTTTAGGGGAGGAGGTGAGCCAGATGCTTGGGCCTTCAGACTCTGCTGTCTCTGCATCCACCACATCCATCGGTCTGAAAAAGCTGCAGTGAAGGTACACAAATGAAATAGCACATTTCACATTCTATCAGAAAACAAAAATTGCATTGATAAGAGGAGGTGTGAACACAATACAGCTGTGGTTATAGGCTTATACATGTTGCCAGCCCCTTTGTTTTCAAGAACAAATTTAATTATTTGCTGTGGTGTGACACCGGAGACTTCAAACAGTTTGCAGGCAAAAGACAAGGCTGCAATAACCCCCACCTCCCTCTTCAGAAAAACCATCCATTAGATTTGAAAAGCAAACAGCCCAAATGGCTGGATGAGATTAGAGACACTCTACTAGCTGTGAAATTAAATAGAATCTGTGCATGTTGATTTGAGGATTTACATACAATAGTCAGCATTCCAGAGGGGGGGAGCAGAAACCAAATATACAGCTCAGAATGATTTCTGACAGTAAACAGAGGCTTTGGCGGAGCTTTGCGTGTTGCAGCAGGTTGACGGCAGGGGAAAGCGGGAGCAGTAAAGCATTGACAACATCAACAAGAGGGACACAGTGCAGGTCCTCGTGACGATTAAAGGATTTTTGCAGATCCTGCGGATCACCACAGAGGATGTCCTGTACTCAGCGATGTTTGTCTGCTCAAATGAAAAATGGAGAAACACTGATCTGGAATTCCCAGTCTAAGAAGCTGACCACATTTGTTCAGACTTTTTTTCTGTTGCACATGCAGTTCACATCCACAGTGTTCTAGCATGACTGCATGAAACTGGTACACGGCTGCAGATTCATTAACACCCACACATGGAGCACAGTTCACCTCCCTCTAACTTACCTCTCTGCAGTCTTGATTTTCTCTCCTGCTGTCTGTTGATGGAGAGCCCCACGGTTTTCCTTTGGAAGTCTTTTGATGTCCTGGTTGCATCTGTGCAGGCTTTCCAGAACTTGCTGCCATCCCACCCCCTGCTGGCTGAGCTTCTCTTCCATCCCCCTAGTCATTACATCACACAGGCACACATGATATAAGGAGTCCCACATCCTTTCATATGCTCACTAACATACCTTATATTTCACTTTCAAGTATGTCCTGTTCATTCTGTGGCTGCTTTACAAAACTCAAACCCAGATATTTGAAAGAGCAGATTTAATGTTGACTAAAAACTTGAAGAGAAATGGCAAAAAATAATAATAATACGCCTTCAGACAGGTTTGTAGGCAAACTTGTTCAAGCTGCACTGTGGCAGAGGGCATTAAGTGGCACCAGAACTGCTAAAGTGCTCCTTCTACACTGACGTTAACCAGTGTAAAGACCATTTCAGGAGATGCAAGCTCCTAATAGCAGCTTGTCAGCGGTCAGAGGAGGCAAAGAGTAAAGTTGCCACTTGGCCTTGTGGCCAGAGATGGAGACTACTGAGAGGGTTGTCAGATAAAGGACTTTTAGAGCATAGGTGGCCATTAAAAGCTGTGTGGGTCAAACACCAGTTGGCCGGCTTCATCACTGTGAGCTCTCGCAGTCCACACTCTCTGGGTTTGAAATAGCTGCATTTCAACTCAGCTTCAATACGGTGTCCCTATTACACAGTCCATTTAATAAAGAATGAATGAAACACAGTGGTTCACCCTTTACAAGAAGGTAAGAAGTGGGTTTTGTGGACAGTGTTGGGTTTTGATCACTGTTTGTTTCAGCTTCACCAGACAAACAACCCTTTTCTTGCTTCTGCTAGCAAGATCTATCTCATGGTACTATACTTAAAGTCTGAAGTTATTATTTTATGTCGTCCTCGCCCAAATGTCTAAGCATTTTTACTATCAACCAATCAATAAAACCAGGTGGAAATCACCCCTGAAAATCTTAAAATAACTGACACATTCTCATTTTATGCTTCTCTCAACACTCATATTCCGTCTGCATTTCAAAGACATCTCATTTTAAAGGCTCCTTTAAATAAGCCTAAAAAAATGCAGAAGCAGCTTATTAGAATGACATGAATAAAGGGTTCACTTGCAGAAATGGATGGATTTAAAACATCATGTTAATACAACATTAAGTTGGTGCATCTGTGCTGAGGAAAGGGATATTTTCCCTTTTTTGTATTTATTTCTTTTTAGCTCAAGTACATTTACATGAATATCATATTAAAATAAATGAAGAATCTGGATACATACAAAAATTGGGAAGTACTCAGACGCCTGAGAAGCAGGGCAGACTTTTTGTGAATGCAGTTGCCCTCTCCTTGTCCCGACTGTCAGCTCTCAAGAAAGACCCAGCTGATGGAGCCAATAATGGGCAGGTTGCTTTTGTAGCTATGGAGCACCTCCCCAAGCAGCTGCAGGTCATTTCATTGATGTCTTGTGTCATTCCCAGGGTTGAACAGATATCCAGGGCCAGCATTTGAATTCAAACTATCTGCTCTTATTTACTGCTGACGGTTATTTCCAAGATGATTGAGCAAAGATAGATCAATTCTGTCCTTGCTGCAAGGGAGTTTATGCTATGCAAACAGCAGAACAAGGCTAGAATACATATCCAAGCAAGAGATGAAAAAGACCTTCCATTACTGCCCATCTTCAGTGCACAAAAAGATAATGGCTGAGTGTGCCGGGTGAGAGGAGGCAAAAATAAATAAAAGAACACATCATTTAATATTTTATGTTGCCTGTTCGGAAAGAAACTGACACCCACAGAGGTTTCAGATAATCAAAGTGTGTTTTCCAATGTGCCAAATTTGCCTGCATGTATTGCTCATGTTCTTTTCTGTAAAACGTAGCAGACATTCCCGCTGTTGTTCTGCTATAAACACCTACAGGCTCTGTCGTCCCTTTCTTCTCCCAGCAGCAAACCAAATGTGTCTGACACGGGATAATGAAGACAAAGGCTGTGTAGTCAGCTAATAGCGGTCTTATAGTAATCCTGAACATACATGGGGGTTCACCTTTTCATATTCAAATCAAACATCATCAGATCGGGAAGAGGTTTGCAGGTGTCAGAGTGAACACGGTACTAATCACCTGAGCAGAAGAGCTGCTTTTTTTGGGGAGGGACACTGCAGTGTGAGGGGAAAATTAGATGTCAGACAGCTCCACGTGCTGTAAAACATCAGAGTTAGCAGATCATAGGAGACCAGGGGTGTGTCTCAAGTTGCTCGCTACTTTAGGCAGTGGTGGTGAATCACTGGAGAGTGAATTGGATTTTGGACATTAATTCAATGAACACTGACACACTGACAGATCAATGAACTGTCACACAGTTCCAAGGCAATGGTGGAGCATAAAGATGTCACATTACCATAATGTCTCTCAGGGTTTAGTAGAATATAGTGTAGAAAAAGAACACAACTGCTGCTAATAGATCAATAGAGACGTTTGATTCACGTAAAGTACAGCTCTGAAACTGTATGACTGTCAATGTTTGCCAAGCCTTAAGGATTTTATGTGATTGAACCATTTTATAAGTTATCTTGATGGTACATTTTATAGAAAAAGTATCCACTCCTGGTGAGAACTTTTGCAGTCTAAGATTTGCTTTCAGAATATTGATGATGAACCTTCACACGATGAGTTTAACTGGCCAGAATCAATTTATCTAAATCAGACTTAGCCATCACTTGATAAGTGGCAGCAGCGCCTACCTGTTGTGTCAGCAGGACTTTCCAAAGACACAATATGCTAAAACTGGGTTCACAATACAGGATTTTAAGTCAGGTGGCATCCCGCACATATGAAGAAACTTCAGTGATAATCTTCTCTCTGATCTTAGTCATGTACGCGCTACAAGATTTGAAATTAATGGTGCATCACACAATATATGATTTTATAGATTTTATTAAGATTATTGTGCCAGAAAGAGCAATCAGGGAGCAGCACACCACCTCGTGATGTAAAGTTAATAAATCCGGATGAGGAAATGGTTGGGAAGATGCACTTAACATGGGTAGTCTATTCTTCAGCAAGATCAGTTTATTGTCTGTGGCCAACATTAGCCTCAAGAACGATATGTTTAGTTTTGCTTGGCAGTGCTGCTCAGGGTGCTAGCATTATAATACTATCCATTCCCTTAATATCAATAATATTGTCCACCATCATAGCCGGTTGAAGAAAAATATATTCTAAGCAACGAAAGTAAAAAATTAATTGCGCCACTGACAAATTGTGAGGGGAGTAAAGCCCCTCCATGCATTTAGCCTGTACTGATGACATTTTACAAATACAGATAAGAATGCAGATTAAGAAAAGGCCAAACGTGAAGAGGATCTGCAATAAGTGTGGCACTACAGTGCATTGTGGGAATTTTCTGGGGAGCTGAACTTGAAGTGCACTGCAGTGCCTTTGGAAATGGAACACGGGCCAGTTCACTACCTGCTGAACTGCAGGCCATTTTGGGACATGCCCTTGGTTGTCGGAGACTTGCCTGTTGTGATTTCCACTGCCTCAGCATGAAGCACTTTTTTTTTTTTTTTCTTGCATGTTCCTACCTCTCCTCACAGAAATGCTGCCATGATTTATGGCTTTGATTTGGTCTAGGTGCCCAATGAATACTGCTCAATAAGCAGGCACATTGCAGAGATTGTGGTGGAGTGGTTGCAGTTATGTCGGGGTCACAGAGTGTAGAGAGCTATCAGACATGTCTGCATACGGCTTACCTGGAATTTTGCAGCATCACCTCAATGGGATTCTCAGTAGATTTGGATAAGTCAGTCAAAGACAGGCTGAAGACAGACTGCAGCCCACTCTGCAGACAACAGAAGGAAGAAAGTACTATTAAATGAAAATCTGTCTGAATGCAAGAAGTGAATGGCAGTTGCTGATGGTAGATTTGCAATTATACAATGGTGAAGTTATGGTATACAATATGTGTCTACTGTATTTATGACAGGTTTCCACAAAACATAACAGAGGAGCTTAAAGAACTTTGACAGCATTTGGAATGATACCAAAAGAAAATCAGGTCAATCAAGTTCTAAAACAGATGGTTGTAGATTTTGATTGGTAAAAGCCCAGCTGTAATGCACAATATGTTCAATTGTTGTCATTTTATATAGTTTTTAAACACCAAAATCTAAATGTTAAACAACTTGCTAATATTCCGAGAGACCACTATAAAAATGGCTCATACACGACAGTCACACGCTGCATTCTGGGTGTGCTGGCACACATTCAGACTGAATGAATGTGGAACTCTTGAGAATATCTCATTTAGAATCAATGTTAAAAATGAATGCTAAAGACTCTCCTTGGAACCACAGTGGGGCCTGGATGCCTGTGCTTCACTTGGCTGTAATAGTGTGCCGTTTTCAATAATGCAAAGAGCAGAAAGCTGTCAAAGACCAGAAGTACAGATGTGTCTATAAAATGGTGTGTGAATCCATTTTACTACATGAAACGGTATAAAGCACAGGCTGCTTACAGCTACAGGCTTTGCAGTCTTATTCACTGACCAAGTCATTTCCTTCCATATAGTAAAATAAGTTAATTTGATCAAAAATCAACATAAGATCATTATTGTAAAATAGTACTAGTGTGATGATTATAGCAATATTGTCAGATTTCTACAATTATCAGTGCTCCTCTCCAGGAGCTAGCATTATCTGATCTCTTCACTTTTTAAACAAAAGGCTTAAAAACACCGGTCATGATAATAAATCCTGCTTATTAAAAGTCTTAATCCCCTTACTCTGCTTATTTTCCTGCAGACAGACGATAAACTACATGTTGTGTTCTCCATAGACTGTTTCGGATCTCTGCAACCTTTGCAACATTGGATTAAAGAAGGCTGCAACAATCTGACATTTGCCCCCAAAAGAGAGACAAAGTGGGCAAATCTCTCTCCACAACAAGTGCAGCATTATGATTGTCTTTCTTGGGAGAATTTCTGACCATTTGGAGTCCCCATTTTTTGAAATATTGCGCCACCTCCCTCCACTTCGAGACACCTTGCTTTTCACTCTACCTTCCAGTGTGGTCCTTCAGCTCAGGTGGTAGAACCCGGCCCTAGCCTTCACACTGTTAAAAAGCTGTAAGTAGTGAAACGCGAGTGTTTCATGTCGAGTGTTTTAACGTCTCAGTAATGGAAGTCTGTGTTGTGTTTATTGTTCCTTATGGTAACCTCCTTCACTGGTATTTCTGTCTCATAAACAATCAGACAGAAATTATTTTTTATGGATATTTTAAGCTGTACAGTACTTTGGAGTTTTTTTAATGGGAATTTTGGGGATTTTTTGGGAATGTCTCCATAGCTGTACCTTGGAAGCAGTTGTACCATACCGATATATTTAACCTCACAAACATCACCTGTCACATCTGAATCTCCATTATACTCAAACTGCAATTGCTAAAGATGCTCCAGTAAGCAACAGTGATTTGACTTTACTGACAAATCTTTTTTTTCCTGTTGATCCAGGCAAAATTAATCCTAATTATATCTGTGATTTAATGATAAAACGTCAAAGGGGTGAATGCTTTTCCCAGGAACTGTTCATAAGAAGACTGGCTGAAGCCACATCAAGACCGTTCTGCTCATACAGTTTCAGTTGGAGATAATTTGTCACACAAATAACCACGATAAGCAATTTCTTTTTCTGTTCATTTTATGCTTATATTAGTTTTAAACTGGTAGTATTACAGCCCCTGGGTGCCACCTTTTTGCTGCAAATCCTCTAAATTACTGGACTCTCCTCCTTCATTTGGCTTAAAACCAAAATGTGCCCACAGCAGAGCCGGGCTGTTTTTATTTGCAGCTAAATCCATGATGTTTAATGGGCTTTATGTTAAGTGCTTTGAGGTAAACAGTTACTGCCATTAAGCCATAGCAGGAGAAGGAAGAGCAAATGATGGAAAATTACATGGAAACGCTGATTTAAATAGTACATTTCTGTTCGTTTCGTGTGTTTCTTCTGTATAGCTTCTTATAGCTAGAGATAACTGTCAGACACCACAACAACAGCTACTGCAGCAGAGTTTCAGTTGTCAAGTGTATGGTTTGGTTTAATTGTTATGCAACTGTTTGCAAAATTTTAGATGATAACTGTGCCATGTACATATGTAATTATTACTATTACACTGAACTGACATGAATCAAATGCTTCGCAGGAATACTTTACATTGACAAATAACTGAAGAGAAAACACTGCTGGCAGCATCCTAGAGAGGAAGGCTGCATTCACACAATGCTTCTTTAAAAACCACATGAAAGCCATAAGGGAGTTGTGGTTAGATGGAGCAAAAGCATCAAGCTCTGAAAGACGCTGCACCTGGCCTCCTCTCAGAACAGCGGACAGCTTTTCTAATGTGGAAAAGAGATTGTTCATGATTTTCAAAGTCTGTCTCTTTTTTCCTTTCTTTTTTTTTTTTACCCAATTAATCAGAACAATGAAATAGAGTTTCATACAAAATTAGGAAAAAAACAAAAACAAACAAAAAAACAGGCAGTACCAGCTGAAAAGCTCACCATAGTTCTTATTCTGATCAGAACAAAGCCTCATAAATCCCGCTGGTGGGCTTGTGGAGCTTCTCATGTGGTGTCTGAATGTGATTTCAATGTGAGCAATGTTTGCTGGACGTAGCGGGCATTACCAGCTGTAGTTATGGCAACTAAGTGCCTGATGCCGACTTGCTTTTACAAAATTACCAGAGGAAAATGCAGCTGAGCAGTGTCTTTTCTTTTTTTTTTGGAAAGACGCTCTCTCAACCTCACCAAAAGGTGAATAGGACAAGAACACAACAGGGCTCTGTTGTGTGCGGTGTCTGTGGGTACTGGCTGTACCTGGCATTTCCCTGTCCGCTGGGAAGCTTCAGTTGGGTGGTTAAAGTGGAGCGTGGGTCCTCCTTCTAGTTGTATGATTGCACCTGGAGGGAACCAAAAGAAGCATTAGAAAAGTGGTAAACTACCAACTCATTCACCATCTTCAACTTTACTATTTGGTGCAAAAGCAGCACCAACAATGAATTATGCATTACACTGGGAGAACGGCTGGCACAGGCAAAATCTGATGCATTTCCAGATAGATTCAAGTGACAGTAATGGCAATGTCTGACTGCCAGGAGGCCTTTGGAGGTGTGGCAGTATCTATAATGCATTAAAAAAGGTGAGGGGACTGTGGCCATGGGAATCTTCTTGTCATTGTAGGACTGCAGTGAATTGTATGAACTTGGGAGAAACTTGAAAAACAGCAGAAAAGTTCTCCTTGAAGCAAAATGAATGAATTGCCGTGAGGAACACAATCCCCGACGTGATTGGCAGTGACCTAGACCAGAGGGATGATTTACCACAGAAAATGGTCCAAGGAAACCTGAGAAGTCTTGTGAAGCTTTAGAATTGAAGTGATATTAAGGTTTATATATCAGGCTCACGTTCATATGGCCATATCCACAGATTTTCTCGAGGTCCTCTCTCCGTTCTCCTCCCCTCCTCTCAGCACAGCAAATACTAATCTTGCTACTACTAATGACTTCTGACGAGTGACAAAGCACCTGAGAGAACAGTCTGTGATGGATTCCAGCTGCTGTTGGACTGAAAATTACTATCATTTGTTCAAGAAAATAGCTTCAGATGCAGCCGTTTCTGAAGGGGATATTGGATAAATTGAAATGGTTATAAAAGAGACTAGCATAGCCAGGCACTGCACGGCCTGGCTCTGTGCGCAGTTTTTTATCTCACTAAAGCAAAGCCATGTGGACGAGGAGGCAGTAAGCGGTGAAAGCGCCGGGCCCCAGCAAGCAGGGCCTGCTCAGGGGGGCCAGTGTTTCAGCTCGGCTTGCCACTGTCCTTTGAAAGGTTAATGCTCTGGCCCACTTCAAACCTGTCGGCCCTATCAACTCCATCTGCCAATTAAATGGAGGGCCTGGGGCTTTGTCTGGAGCTTTGTCCGGGGCCTCTCGCCCTTCAAAATGTTTAGTAAGAGAAATGGCATCTGCCCTGTGGAGAGCTGTGTTCACAATCCACTCATGCCCTGAGTGCGCTGCCGTGGGGGAGCCAGGGACCTAAAGTGGATTTCATTTGCAGATGTGATGCAGTGATCTCATATAACTGCATTCAAAATGGATGAAAGTGTTATTGGCTCCCACTAGCCAAATAATTGCAAATCTGAGAGAGAAATCTTCATTATTACAGACATGCTTTGCTTTTTTTTTTTTTTTTTCCCCTCCCTCCCCATGTTCATTAAAGAATATCAGGAGCAAATTAGATTTTCACAGAGCAGCTTACCCTGAGTCAGCTGGCAGGGATCAGTGACCACAGAGCCATTGACTGAACACTGTGCACCATCCTGAGGGAGGAGAGTCACGGTCCCAGCACGGTTTTCCAGCACACAATGTTCACCAAGGAGCCCAGGCCCACGGAGCTCTGTAACACAATGATGAAAAGTCTGGATAACTCAACAGCTGGAAATTAAGTGGAGGAACTACGGCGCAGTAACCTCGACTCACCGATGCCCTGACAGCATGAGGCTTGAGAACTCCCAATCAAGGTTCTGCCCTCCTACGGTCAAGATTAAAAGATTATGATACAATATGCAAGCTGCTGCTTGACAAGTAGAGCAATTAAAAAAAGCACTGGACCTTGGCTGGTTATAATTTCAGAAAATATATTGAGTAATGTGTGAATAATGTGGAGTTCAAGTAGTCTGTTCACTTTTAAATAACAGAGGATGACTCCAGAGCCGAGTGGGCCTTCGTCGATGCCGATCAGATGAGGTAACTGACAGTCCAACAAGACGCCACTTCCTGCCTTCCTCAGAGCCACAGCCTCCTCCTGTGGAGCAAACACACCATGGGAGAAAAGAAACTCGTTCAATCGCCTGTAGCTGGAGTGGCACACGATATAAAATAAAAATGCTGACAGACATTTAATGGCAACCAGCAGAAAACTGAATTCTTTATGACCGCTCTTCCTTGCCTGAAGGCCAAGCAGGATAGCAGAATTCCAACCATGTGTCGCCATGAAGCGGCAGAGTGGCTAACGGCAAAAGAGGGGCCATAAATCATTCAGATTATCGTGGCGAGAGTCAAACTGTACATTGTGTGGAACAGACGCAGCACCACCGCCCACACAAACGCACACACATATACACAGGTAGTTTGTGTAGCACGCATCGTTTCCTTTATTGGCACATAGCTATCCACACTGCATGTTGCTATTAAAACACTACAGAGCTCGTAAAATACGTCAACTTTAGATAACAGCATCAAACTTCGACTAATCTCATTTACAATGTGTTCAGAAACAGCTTTGTATGGAAGGTCAAGCTACAGTGAATCTCTGTGCTTACAGGTGAAACGGGCCGAGCATTTTCAGTCCTCCCCTCATAAAACGTGGCATGTGTCTGCATAAATGCTAAATCATGAAATGTCCATATTTCACACACAATTTATAGAAAACCACTGCACCATGCTGTCACGCAAAACAGAATTACAGTTAGATCGCAACTTAAGTCAGACGGAAATTAATCTCTTTATGGAAAGAAATAAAGAAAAAAAAAATCCATGTTTGTCCAGAAATCCCTGCTAAATATGTATTTAATGGTGTTACAGCACCGCTCTACAGAGAATGTGATAAGAAATTGATTTAATCCTTGAAAGCCATTTCTAAAGCTACACTTAAAACGTCTGATCTGCTTCATATACCGCTTGACTGCCTCCGCCAATTGTTGCTGAGGAAATGTAGCGGCATGACTTTACACCACCACACTGTACGCGTCTGTCAAGGAGCAATATTCATTTAACTTAGTAGAAAATGTCATTTTGTATTACACCACCCCCAGTTTCACTAAAAAAAAGCCACAAGTCAAGCTTCAGAAAAGACCAGACATGCTGCAGATGGAATAATGCAGTTAATTTGCCAGCAATCAAACAGGAAACGAAACACAGCCTCGGACGACCTGTAGGTTCAAACAGTACATATGAATTAGGCTGCAGAGAGAAACTTCACTGTTAGCGAGTTTTTAAGGCTGGTAACCTTTTCCTCTCTGGGCAATGGCAGTTCAATAACCCAGTCCACCAACCTATGAGTGGCCTTTTCAGAAGCATTCTTCTGTTAAACTAGTGGACTAATGCCTCACATTGCCATGGATTATCAAAAGTACCCCCCCAAGAGGCCAAGCAGAAAATCTCCCACATGGAAGGATTCAAGACTCTGCATAAACTAGTTCCCCTCGCTTTCAACCTCCTCTAGCTCCCGCTCCGTCGTATAGATTGGACTGTGAAGTGGGAAACATGTCCGCGGTCAGCACCACCTCGCTCATTGGCAGTTGTGAGATGGGAGAAATCCTTTTTTCTAATGAAGAAGGAGAGGCATCGACCACAGCCCCTGTACTTAATTAAAAGGGATTTTTCACAGACTTCATTAGAGGTGAGGAGCAGCCTGGCAGATTAATGCACTGTGTCACTTTCCTCAGACACCAGGAACAGATGAGATCCTCTTACTTTCTCCTCACATTCGCACAGAAAGTGGCTCCTCACCACACCCAGTCTGTGTGCAGAATGAGGACAAAAAAAATAAAAAAATAAAAATTCTGCTTTCAGATTGTGGCAGCTGCTGAACATACTGTAATTAACTGTGGCCTAGACCAGCCATTAAAAGCCATCATTTGTGGTTGGGCAGACTTTTAATGGATTTTTTTTCTCTCCCCAATCGCTTTGACAGTTCAAGTTCCCAACTTGGGCAATATACATTTCAAAACACTGCCATACTAAGCCAACCAATCATCTCTCCTGACTGCCGATCACCCTCGTTCAGCGGAGCAACTTCTGAATCCGGAACAGAACACTTTCTGCATTTCAATTGCTGTGTTACATTAAAAGGTTAATTTCCTTGAAAGAGCTGTGTTTTTATCACAGATTGCTGGTCTTTATGAAAGTTAAAATGTCGAACACTTAATGAGAACGGCAATTACATGGCAAAAAATGGCATGAAACCTTTTGCGTGCAGTGATGAATTATATTCAATTGTTAACTCACAAAAAAGAACTGACAAATTGTTAAGTCATTTTCTTTGAGTTTTTTTAGTGTGTGTCCTGTGTGTAAAAGCAGAAACTCAACAAGAAACTTGCTCTGATTGTAATATGAACAGCTTAATACACATTCCAGCAGTCAGTTAACAAAATTCACATTTCAGCTCATGTAGTGTGATGGTTGTTATTCTACACAGATAGACGAAATGAGCTGACATTTTACAGACTCTTATATTTTGGGACATTCATTTAGTTAAAGAATGTGTTCACAAAAACAAACAAAAAAAGAAAAAAACAATTGGAGCATTAACTTACCAAAATATAAAGTGCATTTCATTTTAGAGGCCCAGCAAGGACCTGTAACACATGTGCTGCCATGTGAGTTTCGTAACCAAACAGTAAATTAACACTGATTAAATTAAGTAAAAGAAAGTCCATTTTTGAGCCAACCTTTACCTGCATGTGAAGAAAGTCTGCTGCTGATAAGAATATGTAAAGGTCAGGAAATGCTACAATGACTATAATGTATAACTGCTGACACTGAGTTAAACTGACATTAAACAGAGCAAGGCTCAGAGCATTCAAAGCTTAAGTTGTGCCGTTGTGCTGATTGGAGCATGTTTGGGAAACGCTAAGACTAGTAGGATCAAAGGAAAGCTGTGGTTCATTTTATCTTACTGAAATGGAGGTTCCTCCCACCATACTGTGTGACAAGGGGACTTGAAAGGGTGGCTTGGGGAGCAGAATGCAACTCCACTTGTGAACCTCTTACAAATCTTTGTGTGGGCATGTGGTTCTGCATTTAATATATTGTTACTCAGTGTTTTTAATGCCTCACATTGCATACATACATATAAATGTATGAAATCAATATAAAATAAATTAATAAATAAAATATTAAATACACAAATGCATGCAGACATATAGACTTGCATATTAAAGTCCCCTTGTGACACAGTCCGGTGGGAGTGTGTGTGTGTATATATATATATATATATACATATACACACATACACACACACTGTATATACACACAAACATACATATATGCACATACCCTAGTGCAGTAGAACATCATTTGCTTTTCCCTCTTCCTGCCTTTTGTGTTCTCTCAATCTGTTGTCTCCTCTGTCTGGTAAGAGGCTGCTCTGGAATCCATCTCATATTAATTACTTTCTCTTTCCCACATGCCCTGTAACCAATCTGGGAAGCTGACGATGAATAACTTTGCATTCTAAATCTGCTTTGAATACGGAATTCAAAATTCTGTTTACACCGCTCTTGGTCAACTTGTCTCCTTAAGGTCCAAGCAGACAGTTTCATCTAGCTTTCAGCAACGGCGTCGACTGAATTAAACACAAAATATATGCGACCGACTTGAGCAAAACTGCTCTTAATTTAAAAAATAATGTGCGAGAGATGGTAAACATGCACTAGGTTTAACAGCGTATACTTAAACACGGAGGTTAGATCAGAACCCTTTTTAACAGACACATGCTGAAGGCCATCTGTTAAAAAAATAAATAAAAAAAATCTGCCTAAAAAAAATTCCACCTCTGTGATTAGGCTTTGTTTTTGTCAAATATGTGTGCAGAATTTTGAAATGGCCAACTGCAAACCAGGACTGGATGTGCTTCTCTGTACTGAACCAAGTAAAGGCTCCACCTCTAATGTCTGTGCGACATTCCATGCAGGAATCCCGCTTATCATTTCTCACCCAGGCGGAATGCAAATGCACAGGAAGACAAATGTCAAATCCATAAAGTCATTCATCAAACACTTAGGGTTTCAGCAACACCAGCGTGCCTACCGGTCACCAGTACAGTGGCCTTTTCGCCTAGGTGTCACATTGAATCATGCATAATAACAGATGCATCTACATGGATGGGCACAGCTCTAAATAAGGCGTGTTTTTCCAGCTCTGCCTGCAGAGATGAATGACGTTGCCTCTGAGCATAAAGTCATCAGCGCTTGAACATGCAAACAGATTTACAACACTGTAACTTTAATTAATATGCTGGACAGTCGGAAACGAAAGTGCCATATGTCAATAATCAAGACCTCTTAATTAGGAGCTGTGACAGCAGCTAATGAGGTCCAATACACGCTCACGACTAAAGGGCTGTCAAGCCACTAAATGTCACCTGCTAACCACCATACAGAATAGAATGTTAATTATCCAATATTCTCATATAAAGCTGACATTCATGTATATGGTATTTAAAATCCATACAGTCAACTAAAATGTGGCTTCACATAACCAAGCAGACATGTAACTCTTGTTCAGCATCACTGATGTCTGATGCATGTCAGAAGCAGTCAAATATAGTCAGGCATTTGTCAAAGTGAACAGTGAAAAGACAACAGGTTTAACCCCATGTAGAAACTGCTAGAAACAATGTACTACCAGCATGCATAACGAAGACAAGAAGTCACTTCATACTTTTCATGACTGGCACGCTTCACAGTTCAATGCATAATGCAACAGGCTACTTGGCTGAACACAATCAGTCCCAAACAAATGACATTTGGTGTTATTTTGGAGGTTGGGCACAAATTCAACAGAGGATTTCTGGGCTGGCAAAAGCAGCATTTTTTTTTTTTTTTGTTGCACCTTGGGGGTCTTCCGATGATGTGACCACACTGTCCCTGCCTCAGAGAAGCCATACTGGGAGCATCTCTGTCCTATTTCTCTTTGTCAGACTCCCCAAGCACTGTCACACACTTCACGATCATTACAGAAACTCTACTTTTGGATGCCATTTAAATCCAAATAGATGGAAAATTAAATTTCAATGCCAGGTTGACTCTACTCTCAGCACCCTCTCCGCTACATGAAGTGGCTGTTCTCAAGACTTGCAGTGACACCAGCTGGCAGGATGCCTTTACTGCAAGCAGTAACTTCCACGAAAAACTGTGTCTGGAAGCTTGGTACTATAATAGATATTGGCTAAATCTATGAAGTAAAACTGTAAATACTCTGAACTCATTTTCACTTGCATGTAGCTTCTGTACCAAACTTGAAAAGGCACTTCAGTTTTTATTAAATTTATTATGACATGATGCATCACTAAATTCCAAATGAGGGAATGAAAAAACATGACAAATAACAAAAGCACGAACAACAAGGGCATCTAACTGTGAATATAGGTGCATCACATTTTATTCCAAAATGTTACCTCTGTGTAAAAAAAGAAGGAGTAAAACTACAGGGGTTTTGGTTGCCTTTATGATATTCGATTACTTGAGAGAGCTACAACAAACTCTGGAACAGCGCAGGTCATCAAGTTAGTTCCTGTCTTTTTATTCTCCACGTGTCTACCATCTAACTGCACTGTACTAGCTTTTGTTATTTAAAATAGCCAGTGTTAAATTGGACCCAGGATGCTGATGCAAATTTGTATGAATGAATCACTGTTGTACCTGCAGAATGCTCTGAGTCTCCCTCCATTTGCTGGTCCACTCTTTGGTCAGTGCTTCAACCTTGAGGGAATAGCAGAAATAGCAGGTGTATTATTTACAGGAGGAGAACATCAAAACACCTCTTTTCTTCTGAGGCTGACTCACCTTTGCCTCATTCTGACGCAGTTTCTCCTCTACCTTCACAGAGGAAGACATTTCCTCATGGAAAACCTGGAGTGGTTGTGAAAGCAAACCCACACTATAAACTCTGAATAGGCAACATGCATAATGTAGTAACCTTGATGGTCTTTTATGTGGTACAAGCGGGACCTGAGTGACTTCTTCTAGCAGTCTTCGGAGCCTGGTGACCTCTACGTGCAGCTCTCTGATCACCTTCACGCTGCCATCTTCGTTCACCATGGGAGAGTTCATTATGTTTTTAGCTCGGGTGGCATAGCGCAGAGTGTTCAGAGTCTCCCCGTAGTCCACATCAGCAGGAGAAACGGCTGCAAGGAGAGGCCATCGTGTAGGAAAGTGCAGAGGATTCATGAGAAGTTGTCAGAGAGGACAAGAGAAACAAGAATTATGTTTAAGAAGGGATGAGAACATAAGGGTGACACCACCTAAAAACAGCTTGAAATGTGTTTACAGTGCATACTTGCTATCATAGTAGTCATGGAGTTTCCACCCAGGCTGTCTTTGAGAAGCCAAGTCAGCACAGAGTCTCTGTAAGGAATGAAGATCTGCTTCTTTTTTGCTGACTGTTCTCCCACACTCAGGTCAGCTGAGAGGTCACATTGACGGGGAAAAAAAAAAATACTATATTGACTCTAGAGAGAGCCACCAAGATATGAAATGTTTCATCCTAAAGCTCTATAGATCCAATTTGGCAACAAAAGTGTCATTGCCCGGCATTAATCCTAGTAAAAGGCCTCAGGTTTTCTAATACAATCTACAGTGAGTTTAATTCCAGCTGTAATTTTATCAGGGCAGGAGTCAATTTTTTCTTTCGAATGATGAAACACCAATTTGGAATTAAACCAAACACCAAATTGCAAAATCCATAGTAACAATTTGGGCTCTGTGAAACAGGCGGAGAGGTAACAACTATACTGTGTTGTATTTTTGAAACAGTAATTCAACATCTAACAAAATTACCATACTCTCATAGAAAGCAGTCATTATTCACAGTCTTATCGATCCGACTTGCTCAATACTAGATGAAGATGTTTTGCCGTGGTGCGTCAGTCATGCTAATGTAACCGTCTTTACCCAGCGCTGAGATCACGCTGCCCAAGGTGACCAGGGATTTGTTGATGTTGGCACCTTCCTTCAGCCTGACGCCTGTGGTGCGCGCGGCGTCGGCTCGCTCGCTGCCTGCCAGGTCTACCAGGTGCATCTTACTCCGAGTCTCACGTGGCAGCTCTGCGTCAAACCGCGCCTGTGGCATGAAAAACACAAATAAATAAATAAAAAACACGTCTGAGTGAATCCTCATTTAGTTCAAAAGATGCAACATCACAGAGAATACTTGGGCATATAGGTGGCATCACGACAAAAGCGCTACTTAAGAAGGAATAAATGAAAAAGCCTTTGAAGATGAAAACACGTGTTAGGAATTATCGCTACACAAAATGGATAAACAGAGCTAATTAGAGCTCTTGAGGGACGGCCTTTGCCAACACCCAGAGTTTCCTGGAAAACTTTACTTTTTGGTTTTTTTTTTTGCTCCAACCTCAGAATAAGTAACACAAAATGAGACATGGCAGCAACAATGTGTTTAAGCACTGCGGTTCACCTGGGTGAACATGATGGTGAAGATGGCGTGGGAGCGGCTGCTGCAGTCATTCATGTCCGTGCAGGCCGTGGTGCGGTTCGCATTGCCAAGCATGATGAGGTCCTCGATGTCACTGTGGTTGTGTACCAAGTGTTTGGACAGATCTGCACGAGTTGCATGTTTTTTTGTATTAGACTTTATGCAGTTTATCCAGACTCAGCTAACACGGACATGGAGTGAGGAATAAATTACTCACTCTCTACATAAGGTCCATCCTTGGGGTGCTCCCTCACTCTCAAGCCTCCACCATCTGTGGGTGGTGTTCTCTTCCGGAGAAGGTCCTGGACACGTTCATTGTAGATCTCCAGATAGCTTGTGCCAAGACAGAAAACTGAAATCCAAATTCTGATCCAAGATTTCATGAGGCCACAGAGGCACAAATTAATGGCGGGTTTCATTGTTAATATGTGAATGGCACAACACCAAATGCCAACAAAACAAGTTATTATTCACTGTCTATTATGGAAAGAGATGCACAGTAGGTTTAAAGCCAAATTATTGTCATTGCTTTGTTCTGCTTTTATTGGCAATGAATAAACAAATATGCAAAGTAGGCTTGGCAGAGCACTTCAATCAAAACTACAGTGGGTGTGTGTGTGAGAAGCAAAAGGACTAGTCTGAGTAGCTGATTCAAAAACAATGCGAGGCATGGTGCAATTAGGCTTTATGCGAGCGTGACAGAAATAAATGGCAGGGACCATATCCTGTGGATGAAGCCATGCATGTTGTTTGCTGGCACAGTGATGCAAACTCAGGCAGGTTACAATATTAGATGCTTTCTATGTGGCTACAGGCACAGCTGCCGTCATTACAATACTAAAACAAGAAGGATCATTAAAGCCAGATACATGCGATTCCAGCTACCCCCGCAGTTGCCTCCTTACAAGTACAAAATTTCTGATAATGTCGAGAGGAAAGATTAAGCTGCCTACTCGGCCAACACAACAAAGACAGAACGCAGTGAAAGGTTTGAGGAAAAAAAGTAGAAACTAAAGTCCTCGTTCTTATCCACAGGCAAGAAGAAGAGACCATGACCTTAAGACAGGACAGAGAAACTGTCAAGTAGAAGCCAGCAATGTTGTTCTGTTGAAAAAGAAAACCAAGCATAGAGATTCATGCAAGGAATATTAAACACAACTTATTTGAATATTGCCATCAGGTTTTTTTTTTTCCTCTAATCGCTTAAAACCATAAAATCAGGAACTTTGACAAAATCTGTTGAGAATTTGAAGCCCAAGGATTTAAAATGATAAACTAGTACAGTAAACTATACACTGCTATGATCAGTAAATCTATGTTGTGTGCCTGAGGAATGGCAAAGCACTTCTAAGAATTACCCTACTGCAATAAAAGGTGTTTTCTCTAACACTCACATTAATGCCTAATTAAATTTTTGGAAAATTTATTTTGAGTATGATGTAACCCCGACCTCTGCGGCGTATTTCCATCCCAAAAAATACAACACAAATGCGTTTGTCAAAAGTCATCCTTCAGTCATTTTCTAGTCATTCAACATTTCCAAAGCAAGGCCAGGCAGAGTGGATTAAATTAAACCCCAATTCTAAGGTTGAATTAAATCCAAATAATAGACCAGCAGCACACAAGAAACCAGATGGCAAAATAATGGTTTCACAGTAACTTAATAGGCTTAAAATCCTCAATTTTACCTCCCATCATCATTTAGGAGAAGAGCTGGGACATGAAACGGATATTGTGATGAGACTAGATATCATCTGGGATTTTGAATATTATTTGATTATAGCAATAAAGCCTTAATGTTGTCTTCTTCTGGTTTTAAAGGGCTACATTACAGTTAGGTCATGCAATTTTCAGAAGTTATATGGCTGTTCAAGCCAAGCCAAATGAACAATGAATGGCTTTCCCTGCTTAACCATCGTAGCTAAATTAATAATAAGCCCATGCCTCTGACCACTAGGGTGAATATTTTATGAAAGTACCAAAAATTACAACCAACAGATTATCAGTAGAGGTTTTGGGGCTCTGGGTTTTACAGAAGGTGGTGAGATTTTAATGAGTTTCTGCACTTAGAAAAACAGTGCGCCTACAGTGCAAAACACATTAAGAAACAAACAGGGAACAACAACTCATTGACCACTAAAGTCACTCTTAAATCTGACTGGAGCTCGAAGTCACCATCAGCTAAAGGAAGCATCTCCAGCAAAGCTACACTTGTTTTTAACCGTGTGTGCACTCTTTTCTGGTTGTCACGGTCTGTAGTTGCAGTCATAAAATGTGCTACAGTTCTCTGTAATTTTGAAAAATAACGAAAAAATAAAGTGTACTTGTGCTTCCTCTTCCTTGTGGGTGAAAAGCTTTGTTACTGCCTGTGACAATTCTGATGATGCGCCATCTCTATAGATCACGTCAAGTTAACACACTTTACTGTATTATCAGGCAGTGCTTGGAGTGGGAGTCTTAATCTTTACGTTAAAAGATCTGCAGTGGCAGTTCTGTTATCATCAAGACTGCCTTTGTTTATTGGCAGCAGTAGCACTTCTTCAGAGCCTTTAGTATAATATTGCTGTTTTAATATTTGGCACCAATTAGATCAGCAAATGGCTGACAGTGCGTCACCCCAACGTAAGCAGCAGTAGTTTTAAAGTCGTTCTCCTGCCACCTCTCTGGGTTTAGTCCCACAAAATAAGTGTGCCACTTTTCTTTTTAGCACAATTAAGGATGTTTCCCTTCAGTTCTATTACAGTATGAATGTTGCAACAGAATATGAAATTCAAATTCTTGAATACAGTTTGAAAACATTCAATAGGTCATAACCTAACCTTTAAAAAAAAAATAATGTTTTACTTGTTGCATAAACAGAAAATGCTTCAAAGAGTAAATAAAAACTGTTTAAAAAAAAAAGTTACATAATATCTATGAACCTTTGACAACTTTCTCAAGCACAAAACTTTCCTCGAGCTCCTGTTTCCAGCTATACTGCTGTCCACGCTCAGATCACCAATTGTAAAGGGTTTCATGTTGTACATAGAGCTGAGGTCAAGAGATGATGCTCGCCAAACCACAAACTGTTTCTCCTTTTACTCCTATAGTAGCTTAGGGTCATTTGTACAACATGGGATAGTGTGTTGTCCTGCATAAGGGAAAAAAAAATCTTCCTGCAGAAATGATCCTCCTTTTTATTCCATCACAGGAAATAGTCATTTAGGAACATCACATATCTTTAATTAATATTCAGCCCAGATTAGCACTTTCTTGTTGACCTTGCATTCTTGTTTAAGAAGAATAACCATTCACAAACCAATGAGTGATGAATAAAACAGCTTGAAAATTAGTGTGCTTGTATTTCTAAAGCCACAGAAAATATTCCTTATTGTGAGCCTTTGGTTGAAGTGCAGCTTTATGCACAGGCAGGGTGTAAAAAAATCCTACATGCACGAGTCGTATAGGACACCATCTGTTTCACATGCTGTTTGCTGCTCAGCAGTGGGGTTTTCATATCTGCCTTTTTAATACAGTTAAGTTATCTGATGGAAACTTCTCTTCAGAAATCTTTATCTGACCAAATTTTCTCTGCTCCGAAACCTCACAAAACTTTTCATACTTAGGTAATCTTGCTCCAGTTTTTGCAAAACATCAATGGCTTTCATGCCTCTTACCAAACATTGCACTATTCCACACTTTTATCTTTCGGAAGACCTTTCTTCAGCCATGTATTGCATGCGAACTGTGAGTTGTTTAATAATGTGAAAGAACCTCTTTAAGTCAGTTTCTTTTTAATTATGCCATTTTATACCAACTATACCATATATAATTGATAAAGGTACTAGAAATCAAAAACTTTGACTGAAAAACGTCTGCATCATAACTTGGAACACAAGGTAATTCTTACATCAGTGAGTCACTGTCCTGAAATCTTTGTGAATGTTGCAGCGTTTCATTGTTGATTAAGTATGATGGTTCCTTACCTGACCTCCGTGTGGAAGGACACACCATCACTCTTGCTTCTGTGAGATATCTCTGCGAACAGTCCTTCACAGATCCGTGGGATTAAACCTTTATCTTCCTGTCACATTAAAAGAAGAAAATATTACATTTAAAACCCTCGCTACAAAACGATATAGATAGTGTACCTTAAAATGACAAATACATTTTGCTCCTATTATGTTCTCTTAATTTGGGGCATCTATGCTGCGCTGTAACCACAATTCAGCACACATGAAGAGTGCTGAACAACACAAACAACAGCCAGCTCATCTGATCTGGAGTTACTGAAGCATAAAAGCAATTCCGGTCCGAGCTGCATGCCCTCTTGTTTTAATTACACAGTAACAGATAGTAAGCATTAAGAGCCATATATAATTATCTGGGATGTTGACAGCCGCTCTGCTGATGACCTTGCACCAGTCTCCTGATAGACAAGCACAAACCTCGCTGGTAATGTGAAATTTCCATCGTGGAGCAAGGTGAGGAGAGGAAAGCAGTGGGATGCTGCACTCATCAAATTTTCTGATTAGTGGGGAGGAAAAAAAACATGTCTGATGAGGCTGCCATCAGTCAGGTACTAATGTGAGGGAAAAGTCAGTGCTGGTGCACACACTGGGTTGACACTGCTGGGGCATTCTGCAGTGTAAACTCTGCAGGGGTGTGAATATTGTGACATCCGGTGTGTAACTGATGGTTGTGGGACTAATTTACGAGACTTATTTGGTATGCACATTTGAAATGACCAATAAATATTGCAGGAAAGCAATGTTTCAAATTCTTCCTCAACCCAAAACCGTGTTTTTGTCATTGCTATATCTCTCGGATGTTTATCCTTCACTGTGTAGAATCGTGTATGTTCACACTTTGACACTAGAAGACTGTTTTCAAATTCTACAGCTATAAGTAAACAGTAACAGGAGGAATTGCAGGCATGCAAAAAGGACTTACATGACCTACGACTAGTTTGGAAACCAGTCATGGTCCAGTAGGCATCTTAGTGTGATTTGGAAATATGAAGCTTGCATTGCATAACCACTCAGAACGGTCCTAATGAACTCAGTAATGAAAACTAATCGCATATTGATGGATTTTTACATGAGGGAGGGGGAGTAGATGTCTTTTTAAGAATTCTTAACATGGTACTCTAACTTTTTAAAATAAAAATGAAAAAAAAAAACATCAGACAAATTATTCAAAGCAGAATAATTTTATCTACTTTCCAACATGTCTGGAGGGGAACTTAATTATAAAATAAAAGTGCCCCTGAGAAGTTAGTAAAAATTGAGAGGAAAGCTAAGAGAAGGCCTTACTTTATGACCCATCATGGTGTAAGATTTCCCTGAGCCTGTTTGGCCATAGGCAAACACACAGGCATTGAAGCCATCAAATGCTGCGTTCAGGACATCAGAGCCCAAGTCTAGAAAAATCTACAACAGAGAAGGGAAAAAGAAAAAACAAGTTAAAATCTTAGTTTAAAATGCAAGCACCAAAAACTCATTGGCAGATAAACCAAAGCACCATTTCTCTTCACTACAACACACTGTCAAGGGTTGATAACAAACTGAGGGATACAGATTACCCTTTCCTGGGATGCAAACGCGGGGCTTCCTCTGTCACATGAGTCATATGAAAAGTCAAATGTAAAGTTTTTCACTCTGTCCTTCAGCTGGTCCCCTCGAACATGTAAAGGCTGTGAATTGAAACACAGTGTCACTAATGACTTCTTTAACTGTACCACAGTGAGTTTCATTTTGTGATAACGTACCTTATGAATATATGTTGTCTTCCCCTTCATGTGAACTACCACCTTCGACGATTGCCGCTTTTCTCTGTGAAAGGTGAGCGTGAGCGACATGATTTTTTTTAACAGACTGGAGGGGAAATAAATGCAGTTAAGTCCACCTACCTTTTGTTTAGTGGACGGACTCGGACCGCTACTCTCACAGACGACATGATGAGTGAGGGTCAGACGGATCAATGGAGCAGCTGAACTATCGGAGAGAACTGCCTGCCTTCAGCATGGACATCAACGCTGCGTGTTTCACAGGTAATTATCACACCTGGGACCTGCAGTGCACATACTGGCCACTGGGGGGTGCCCTAAACAAAAGTCTTTCTTCTTTGATGTGACAATTCGGTACCAAACTTCATGCATATACGCCAGGGGTGTCCGATCCTGGTCCTCGAGGGCCACAATCCTGCATGTTTTAGATGCTTCCCTTTTCCAACACACCTGATTCAAATGATCAGGATCGTTATCAGGCTTCTGCAGAGCTTGATGATGAGCTGATCATTTGAATCAGGTGTATTGGAAGAGGGAAACATCTATAACATTTACCCACGAACCTAAAATTAGAGAGCAACACCAATGCTTTTAACAAAGGACTCAAACACTGGCTTAAATCACAACAAGAGTGCTCACATGAATAGTTTTAACTGGTTGATTGCTTGAACATGTTGCCTTATTTATGTTTTTAACCTGTAAACTGCCTCTCTTTTACTGTTGTAATGTTATTGTACACTCTATTTTTTGTTTTGTTTGTTTTTTATTGTTTATTTGTTTATCTTTTTGTTGTTGTTGTTCTTATTACTTTTTATCATTTCAAAAGCCTCCTGTTGGCAAGTGTTGCGAATTAGCACATGTGCTAAAACACTCAAACAATGCATCTGGTTTGTCCAATGTAATTGTGATGTCCACATTAAATAAACAATAAATAAATAAATAAAATAACATGCAGGATTGTGGCCCTCGAAGACCAGGATTGGACACTCCTGATTTACGCTTAACTTGACTAAACGATAGGCTGAAAGCTGAATGTTATGTGCGCAATTACGCACGTGGCACAGTCAGCCGTAACTTCATTACTACAAGATCTGACGTCAAAGTATGTTCTGTGTTCTTTGACACGACCCACAGGTCAGCTGTTTAACACAGATTCTAGGTTTAAATGGTCAAAATACATGTATTAAAGTTTCTTCTTGTGATTCCTGAGCTCCATCAGACCTGTCAGGAAGTTTTTATTAAGATAAACCTGTTCTTACGCACAGAGTTATACATTTGTGCTTTGTGTCAGGGGACTGGAGTTAATGAGGTGAATTTTTTATTTTATTTTAATTTTTTTTGCAGGTTAAAGTCTGATTGAAGACCATGTCCCTGCAGTTTTAGGTCGTCAAGTGATTCCTGAGTGGAAAGGAAAGCTGTGCAACCTTTTAAAACATATTTTTAAAGCAGCATTACAGGTTGTCCCATATGTGTAGGATTTGGTTAAATATTAAGAGAGGACACACTAAGCAAGGAATCTTGAGGTTAATTCCTGGAGATTGGTAAAGACAAACTCTTTATTTCCTGCATTCTGGTGAATTTGTATGCACAAATGTGTGCTTTTTCTGCAACATCTACATTTAGGCTACGTAAAGGAAAACTCAAATTTTAGGCACTGAGCCATAATACTAAATATAAATGACAATAATGCAGGAGCTTAGGCATTCTGGATCACTTTCAGATGTTTATTTTACCCGTATAATAAGTTTTGCTATTTAATGAACAGAGGGAAACATCATTCAGCTATTTTCTTTGGTCGTTCATATGCATTTAATACAAGCGACAATGGCTTGCTTTTAAAAAGACTTCACAATGTTTGTTTTAATGAAAATGCTTTCAGTTAGTTCCATAGTTACCTCGTGGACACACAACACTGAATGACTATTAGATATGTAAAAGTCAAAATTGTGAAATCTGAAAATGGGGTCTAACAGGGCTCAATGATTGATAATGTCTCCTCTGTATCTAGTTGTAAGGTACATCTCTATGCAGATGTTATGTTTGCTGAGTTACTAGTTGCACTCAACAAGCATAAGCTTCCTCAATGCAGATAAAACTAAATTTATGATTTTCACCAGAGCTAAAAAAATAAATAAATAAATAAATAAATAAAAGAATATATATGTAAATAATATATATATATATTGCACATGGGGCTGCAAGGTGGCGCAGTTGGTAGCACTGTTGCCTCGCAGCAAGAAGGTTGCCGGTTCGCGTCCCGGTGGGGACACCGGAATCTTTCTGCGTGGAGTTTGCATGTTCTCCCCGTGCAGCGTGGGTTCTCTCCGGGTTCTCCGGCTTCCTCCCAAAAGTCCAAAAACATGTTGAGGTTAATTGGTGATTCTAAATTGTCTGTAGGTGTGAATGGGAGTGTGCTTGGTTGTCTGTCTCTAAGTGTGGCCCTGCGATGGACTGGCGACCTGTTCAGGGTGTCTTCGGTGACTTCGCCCTAAGTCAGCTGGGATAGGCTCCAGCCCCTCCCGTGACCCTAATGAGGATTAAGCGGTGTATAGATAATGGATGGATGGATATTGCACATGGAGGAGTCATAAAGTTTAAAAAATAAAATAAAATCTTGGAATTTGGACGTATGAGGAGCTGCCTCTTAAATATCATGTTTCCAAACTACACCCAAAAAGTTACATGTTCTACAGGAACAAACCATGTTTACCATTGCTTTGTAGAAAAACACTTACTGAGGCAGTTTATCTGTCAATACTGGATTATGGTGACATGTTATACATGCCTGCACCAGTGGCAGCACTGCTTATCACACTGTGTTAAGATTTGTTCCTGGTGACAGTTGCGATAGTCAACATGTTGTGTTTAGGTTGGGTGGCACTCACTCTCTGTCAGGTGTGAAATACCCTGGGTTTTATTTATTCATTAGGCCTTGTCTTTTTTTTTCTTTATCCCCATGACATTATTTCATTACTGTCGATAAATGCGATCTCTAACCTTACATGTTCAAATGCTTGGACTGTATTACAGGTGCTTGCTGTTTTTACTAAGCTTGGAAAATCTACTTTTACTTAATGTGCACCCACAACCTGGAATAACTTTTAAAACTATCTAAACCTGTAGTCAGTTTTAACTTTTCAAATTTCATCTTATATTACTCCCAACAGTTTTAGTCGATTTATTGCATTGAAATCTGCAATGCTTAAATTAATGTTGTTTTTCTACTAACTTTGCTCTTTAATATTTTTATTATCTAAGTTTCCTATTTATGTGCCTACATCTTTTATTTTGTTACTCAACTATATTGTTAATAAGGCCTCTGTACTTCCATTTATTCTAAGTTTAAAGGTTAAATATATAAATGAATAATATTGTCTTGCTGTGTCAACACATATATAGACATAATTTATTCATCTGTCTGCTTTTGGGTCTTTTTCAGGGGCCAGTAACCTTTTAAAGTGTGCATGTGACACCTCCTGTCAATAGCAAATGAATTCCTTTTGATTGTTTTGTAAACCTCTTTACTTTCATAGCTTGTATTTGCTACAGTAAGATTTCTGCTCATTTGAAAAACTGTGCACATTCAAAACAATATCCCACACAAAAAAACAACACATCACCCTTGTTTTGTTGCACATTATTTGCACTACACTTCACACAGGACTTTTTACTTAGACATATTGTCCTTATTGTACATTTTTGCATTTTATATTTTCTTATGAAATGAAATGAATGAAAAATACTTTATTTATCCCAGAAGGGAAATTCAATTATTGTTTATTTTTGCTTGTTTCTCATATGGAGCTAAAACAGAGAAAGTATTAGTAAAAATGACATTGAAAAAAATGTCATTAAAAAAAAAGATTTGTCATGGACAAAACAATTGTCATTAAAAAAAAATTTGTCATTGAAAGCAGACATGAAGAAAATCTGAATATTGTTTCAATGACATTTTTTTTTCAATGACAACGAATACTCTTTATAATTTAGCTCCATATTATCAGTATTTATAGTGGTGGTAACTTTACTCTTTGCCAAATTTACCAAATTTACCCTTAGGGTTTAACCCAGTGTTTCTATTCTATTCTGTTCTATTCTATTCTATTCTATTCTATTCTGTTCTATTCTATTCTATTCTATTCTATTCTATTCTATTCTACACCGGTGTTTTAGATTGACAAGCGCTGGAATGTACGCCTATGAAACAAAACGACACAATCAAAGTGCTTGGTTCAAACATTTAATTCTAAATAATAGCCAGTCAGAATAAATGTATTTATTATACGCACATAACACAAGAGTAGACAGTAGTTTCACTTCGATTGTTGTTTTTCTAATCTTTTTCCAAGTAACGTGAACGCGGCATTTTTGTCCTCGTTCCCATGATGCAGTGCGGTAAAGACCCGGCGCGGACATTCAAAAATATGGAGGAAGACTCGGATATAATTAAATCAACTTCTGGCCCGGAGGTCTCGGTCAATGCGTCCACTGTTAGCAACGGTGAAACTAGGATAAAGAGACGTCTCTCGTTTTCGTCAGAAAGAGAAATCAGCGCCCAGGAGGAGCCGAACATGACACGGTCAACAGAAACGTTAGAAAATGTTTCCGACGACTCCGCTTCATGTCGACTCTCAGCGGAACGACTATCACCACAGACCGTTAACACGAGTTTACAGGCGAATAATGATGTTAAACTAGGAGATGGCTCCACTAAACAGCCTGGTGTTGACAGTAATGAAGACAAGGAAAACGCTGCTGTGCCTCCCACAACTCAAGGTGGGTAACACAATCGCTGTGGGTCCGCATGTTTGTCCATCAGGGATTCATTTCACTGCGTCAGTCTTCAACCTGAGATATAAACTCCGAAGACCGACTGATTTCAGTGTTCCAGAGAGGTCATTTGTAGCTTATATACTGCAAACCCAGTGTCTGGTGTTCAGTTATGTACTGGTCCCAAGTTACTTTACAAACACATATTTTTCCTTAAAGACAGTGAAGTCAACAAAGACTTACAGATTGTTCTAGATTTAAGTTTCCATCAGTGCGTAGGTTTAGATTTCAGGGAGGTTCTAGGAAATGTTTAGAACATTTAAAAACAGTCAAAGAAGCAGATGACTTGTATTATTATATTATATTTAAACAAAGCCTACATCAGTAAATTAAGCAGCTCAAATTAGGCCTACCTTGATCACTTGTGGATCATTTAGAACAATTTCTGCTTCACCAGCTCTGATTTGCCTATTTATTTAATAAAATATTGATATGTATTTTAAAAGATATTTGGGAAATTTTAGCTCAACTGTACTTTGAGCTCTGTTCGATTTGGATAAGGCCATCTATCAATATTTATGTTTTTGTGGTACAACTTGTCATGTCTCTATCAGTTATGAAAGTTCAACGAAAATATCTTTTAAAAAACATTTGTGACCAAGTGTTTCATTTAAAAACGTATTCTGTGTGTTTTGTTTTGGATTATTGTGACGTGTAACTACTTGTGGTTCAGAAAATAGAAGTAGTTGACTTCTGCATTATGCTTTTTTTTTGTTGTGTGCTCAAAGACGGCTTTAATTATTCTTTTTTCATATTTCAACTCACCCATGATCAGATTTTTTGATGTGCTTCTCCAATACTGCAGATTTCGAATCATTGGATGACACGATGAGAAATAACAGTGAAAATGGCTTTTGTCTTTAGTAGTTACTGAAATATTGTGATTCAGACATAGCCTCAAATTTTAGTGTCAAAAAAATGTGCTGACAGCAGTTTAAAAGGGAATGTAGAAATATATGTGTATCAGTGAAAGTACTTGATGTATCAATCTCAAAGATACATACAGTTAAAACCAGAAGTTTACATACACTGTCTAAAAACACACATAACCTTTTTTTTTCTCACTATCTAACATTAAATCAGACTAAACTTTTCCTGTTTTAGGTCAGTTAGGATTCCCTAAATGATTTTTATTTGCTAAATGCCAGAATAATGAGAGAGAGAGAGAATTTTGTATTACTTTCTTCGAGGTCACAAGTTTCCATACATGTCCTTAGTATTTGGGAGCATTGCCTTTAAATTGTATGACTTGGGTCAAATGTTTTGGGTTTCCTTCCACAAGCTTCTCACAATAGTTTCCAGGAATTCTGGCCCATTCCTCCTGACAGAACTGGTGTAACTGAGTCAGGTTTGTTGGCCACCTTGCTTGCACACACCTGTTCAGCTCTGCCCACAAATTTTCTACAGGATTGAGATCAGGGCTTTGTGATGGTCACTCCAAATCATTGACTTTGTTGTCCTTAAGTCACTTTGTATCTAATTTTGCGGTATGCTGAGGGTCATTGTCCATTTGGAGGACTCATTTAAAGCTTTAACTTCCTGGCTGATGCCTTCAGATGTTGCTTCAATATTTCCACATGATGTTCTTTCCTCATGATACCATCTATTTTGTGAAGTGCACCAGTCCCTCCTGCAGCAAAACACCCCCACCACATGATGCTGCCACCCCCGTACTTCACAGTTAGGATGGTGTTCTCAGGCTTGCAAGCTTCCCCCTTTTTCCTCCAAATGTAACGATGGCCATTATGGCCGAACAGCTCAGTTTTAGTTTCATCAGACCACAGGACATGTCTCCAGATATTAAGGTCTTTGTCCCTGCGTTCTTTTGCAAACTGTAATCTGGCTTTTTTATGTTGCTTTTAGGGTAATGTCTTCTTCCTCTCTGAGTATTCTTTCAGCCCATGTCGGTACAGGACTCGTTTCACTGTGGATAATGACGCTCTCTATCCAGCTTCAGCAGCATCTTCACAAGGTCTTTTGCTTTTGTTCTGAGGTTGATAGGCACTATTTTCACCAAAACACTTCATCTCTGGGACACAGAACCCGTCTCCTTCCTGAGCGGTATGATGGATGGACATTCCCATAGTGTTTATATTTGCATATAATTGTTTGAACAGATGAACGTGGAACCTTCAGGCATCTGGAAATTGTGCCCAAGGATGAACCAGACTTGTGGAGGTCCACAATTCTCTTCCTGATATCTTGGCTGACTTTCCCACATTGTCACAAAAGGAAGCAGTGTGTTTGAGGTGTGCCTTAAAATACATCCATAGGTGTGCCTCCAATTAACTCAAATGTTGTCAATTAACCTAACAAAAGCTTCCAAAGTCATGACATTATCATCTGGGCTTTCCAAAATAGTTTGACGGCATAGTGATCTTATTGTATGTAAACTTCTAACTTTGAAGAAAGTAATAAAAAAATCTCTCTCTCATTATTCTGGCATTTAGCAAATAGAAATAATTTTGGTAATCCTAACTGACCTACAACAGGAAAAATTCAGTCTGATTTAATGTCAAACTGTGAGGGAAAAAAGGTTATGTGTCTTTTTATACATTGTATGTAAACTTCTGGTTTCAACTGTATATAAATCACAGATTCCATGTAAAATATCAGTAGTTAATAATAATTGGGGGGGGGGGGATTCAGGCAAACTTGAGTTGGTCAAGCAGAAGGCCTCCAACGATCTGAGATGGAATGACCCATGTATTAAAACGCAGCTTACACGTGATGATCTGAGTCATTTTTCCACCACACCCAGTCAGCTGGAAAATGTGATAATGGCTTAACCAAAATACAAATTCAGCAAGATTTCATTGACATTTAGCCAGCGTGAATTGAGCAAGACTGGGTTCCTGCTGTATGAGCCGTCGCTGTAGGCAAGCTGTTGAAGTGCCACTTTTTAAAAAATGTCACTACTTTGTTTGCAGGGTTTTGTGGCGATCCCCTCTCATGATAATAGTTCAAGTATTCTGCCTTCTGTGTTAGCAGGTTGTTTTAATTATTCACTGTTGATGTGACCCTAAAGACATTATGATGCTTCTTTTCAGACAATACACAAGAAGAGGACATTCCTGGTCAGGGAAATGTTCACGGTTCCATTGTGACTGAAAGCAATCAACATACAAACACAGAAGAGAGAGATGCTGAGGTGATGAGGAGAGCACAGGAGGACGGCCGTGTGAACGTGGTGTTTCCTGGCACTGTAACTCAGGAAGGCTGCTGCCGTTTCGTCAGTGAGATCCTCAAGTGCATTCTCTATCAGAGACAGCAGCTACCCATGACGTATGACCAGCTGGTATACTCTCAGAAGAAACAACAAGCTTCAGTGCAGGTGAATAGGAAACGATACTCAATTTCAGCTTTCAGAAAATAGTTTCCGTCCATGCTAACTTGATTGAAAATGCATTTCCCATGACTATTCGCATACACTGGGAATGCAGGTGTTGGTGTAAACAGCAAGGGCAGGGTTGGTTGCTTAGTGGTAGAAAGTACTACAGAGGAAGAATAGCAGTAGCTAAAAATAAGACTGGAGGTTTTCTTAATTGTATGACAGATAATCACATGAACAGCAAGAGTGTCTGTATTTCGTTATCCATATTGAATTAGCCACTGCTAGTCAAGATCAATTCCTTTGTTTTAGATTTGCCACAATTTGTTGGCATTAACAATAAAATCAATATTTTATATTTTTTATATTTTGAATTATAAATCCTCACTGTTGCCTCGCAGCACGAAGGTTGCCGGTTCGCGTCCCGGTGGGGGCACCGGAATCTTTCTGCGTGGAGTTTGCATGTTCTCCCCGTGCAGCGTGGGTTCTCTCCGGGTTCTCCGGCTTCCTCCCAAAAGTCCAAAAACATGTTGAGGTTAATTGGTGATTCTAAATTGTCCGTAGGTGTGAATGTGAGTGTGCTTGGTTGTCTGTCTCTAAGTGTAGCCCTGCGATGGACTGGTGACCTGTCCAGGGTGTCCCCTGCCTTCACCCTAAGTCAGCTGGGATAGGCTCCAGCCCCCCCGTGACCCTAGTGAGGATTAAGCGGTGTATAGATAATAGATGGATGGATTATAAATCCTCTCTTTTTATTTCTTTTAACATTTTGAGGTTGCCATTTTCACTCTACATTACGGTACATTTCTAACTATGCAGTATTTTACAATTACATGTAGTTTGCCAAAGTAAAACAAACATACATGAAATGCTAGTTTTTCCTTTTTTGGATCAAAATAAGTAATTTTGAGTTATCAAATAATAGGTAAAGTAGATCGTAAATTAATGGATAGATTAATAGTCAATAGTGGCAGCCTTACTTTGCGTTCTTTCAGAAAATGGTCGCGTAACAGGAGCATGAATAATCAGAGAGTAACATACAGTGACAACTCAGGGTGTCCAGAAAAGTCTGAAACATGGTCCACGTGTTTCTAAAAGTCTCCATTTTTAGGGGTCCTAAATCACTCCAGTAGTGTCAACACTAGGCGTCATAGTAGCAAAAGTTATGCATCTTAAAATGAAAACATATTAGTGTGGACATAGCCTAAAGGTGTTTGGTGAATGTTTTGTTTTTCAGGATAAAGATGTGGTGAGTCGGAGACCAGTGCAGTCTGCAGACATGGACTGGCGCAAATGTCAGCAAACCCTTCAAGGGCTGGAAGAGGTGCTGCAGCATTTGGAGGTGCTGTTTTCTCTAAGCAAGGTGCCGCGTGTGCTACTATCAATGGGCGGCTCCCTCATCCTCCCCAAAGAGCTGTACGAGATCAACATGGAGGCTCTGGTACTGGCTGGTGGAGATCATTGCCTGCGAGTGTCGTCATGCTTAAGGCAGCTCTTCCGCACTCTTTTTGTGGCTGACCTTTTGTCTGACACCAGACCTGTGCGGTTAATGCCCACCACTGTTTTGGTGATGGCTCACAGGGATTGCGGTGTAGGGTGGTTCCGCCCAAAACTACAATTTAAAATCCCGACTCGTGTAAAGAACAAAATCATTGCGCTGTCTACTGATCCCAGCATGGGCAAGGAACCAAGGGCAGAAGGGTCAGACTGGCAGGATTACGTGTGGTTTCAGGCACCTATGAATATCAAGGGCTTCAGTAACTGATCTGAAGAGTTGGCAGGTGCATTGTCTGAGATTGGAGCTCCTTTTCTGGGGCCTTTGTGAGACAATAAATTTTACTGGTGGTTTAAATGAATTCTGAACGAAACTTTGACTTGAGCTGTACATATTTTATTGAATTATGGGTTGACTTTTTTGTTCCAGTGTTTGTCAAATCAAACAGTATTGAGTTTACTGACAAAAACAGCATGGTGTGTTTTCTTTTTTTTTTTTTTTTTTTAATATAGTTTTCTGAAATACAGAGAGAATGTGTTCTCAAGAGGCTTCATTGGCAGGAGATGACATCCGCATGAGAACATTGTGTATTACTGTTTTGTATTTAAATGGAATGTTTATCATGAATTTTCAAGAACATTTAACCACAGAGCAACACACACAATATTAGTGCAATATATTTTTACAAAGCACAGTTTAAATGTTTTAGAAGATGTATTGCTTTCTATAATCCATTCTGTGGACACAATTGACTGCCTCTATCATGTGTGTACATGTTTACATTTACATTTATTATATTCTGCAAGAGATTTCAACAATGTGGCAAATCAGGAGGTAAGATGCACTACAGTGCAGACTGGAAAAAAATCAGAATAAAGAGAATCTGTATGTGTCCTATTTGGAATCATCCATGATAATTAAAAAAAAATATACACTATAATTGCAGTGGTCTGAGAGCACATTCAGAGGTTTAGAACTTCTCCACTTTTTTGACAAAATGGATAATTTCGTTGGCGAGAAGCTGGGGCTCTTCAAAGGCAGGAAAGTGGCCACCTTGAGGCATCAAAGTGTAGCGGCAGATGTTCCGATACCTAATTTCTGCCCATGCTTTAGGACAATGCATCAGCTCATCAGGGAAGGCAGCCACGCCAGTGGGCACAGATATCCCTTCCCTAAAACAAAGAATATGATAGTATAAGAAAGTTTTCAGATTTGCAGAGTCAAGAGTATATACAGTGTGAGCGCTTGACCACATACTTCATATCCACTCTGTTGTCAATATTACGCTGGAGGTTCTCTTTGTAGAAGCGCATGGAGGGTATTATGGAGCCTGTGGTCCAGTAGATCATGACATTTGTCAAGAGGTCATCCAGGCTGAATTTTCTGTTTAAATGCCATCATATTTAGTTCATTACAGCCAGAAATAATCACATAAACCTTATGAATGTATCTCCATAAATTTTCTACGATAAAACTAATTTCTGTACCTCTCCAGCCCACCGTCCTCCAGATCTAAGTTCTTCATGGTAGTCCAGCCGGAGAATTTTTCCAGAATGTAGGCTGCCAGGCCTACAGGAGAGTCATTCACTCCACAGCCTGTAAACACAATTTAATTTTAAAAGCTGCGAGTACAAAATACTTGAAACAGTTGGTTTGACTTTCTTAAATCTGTTGTTTTTGATCCATTAACACTGCCAATGAAATAATGAGAGTCAGTGAGCTTGTTTACTTGTTGTGTATGCTCTCACCTGCAGTGTCTGGTTTAGTGGCCTGAATGTGCAGGTAGCCTGTTTCCCTCAGCATATTCCAGACATTCTTCTGAAAAAAAGGGAACAACCGACGAACATCTTCCCGACTGAAGCCCACCAGGAAGGGCAGATAAGGGCCGATTATGAGGGACAACATCACTTTGAAACCCCTTGTTGACATGCACATGGTTAGGTGGAGACCCTTCACGCAGCTGGAAGAGATAAGTAGTAAAGTAATAATAATAATAATAAACTTTATTTATATAGCACTTTTCAAAACAGGGTTACAAAGTGCTGTACAGATTCAAAGAGAAGTGTAAGGAAAACAACATTAAACAGCATTAAAAGAAGCAAAGAGCAAAAAAATACATAAATAAAAAATGGTGAAGGTGAAACACATAAAGCATGAAAGACAATAAAACAATATAAAAATATATAAGAAAAATAAAACCCACTAAAAGAAGACAATTAAAAGACAATAAAGAAAGGAATAAAACAGAAGATAAAATGTACTGCCCTTAATACTGCCATCAAACGGAGTAAAAGTACATAAAACAACTCCTGTAAAAGCACATCTGTATAAATGTGTTTTAAAAAGAGTTTTAAAGGAGGATAAAGTGCTTGCAGATCTGATCTCCTCAGGGAGATGTCAATGGATGACTGGCAGGTCCTATGACATTGTAATGCATGTTAAAGTTGGATTCATAATTGTCACATGGTTTCTTAGCATGATACTCCTTTACCAGCTTCACTCTTCAGGAATTTGTTTTGTCATTGGTTTTTGGGAAACTGCACACAGTGCTTGCACTGTTCTGCAGATTCAGTAAGAATGCCACAATGTTCGCTTTAACAAACAAGCGGCTGGTGAAAATTCCATTGCAGTGATAACTTGTGGCTTATTTTCTGTGAGTGCTTGTTTTGCACGTACCAAGGCTTCATCTGTGACATGTTGGTGGTGATGAGCGAGCCCCAGTCTCCTCCCTCCAGGTAGAACTGGGAGAACCCCAAACGCTCCATCAGTATCAGGAAGATTCGGGCAGCAGCGAGACTGTCAAAACCTGGAGATGTTCAAGAAGCAGATTTGTCAATCAATGCTGCTCAAGATAAATAAATCGATGTATTTAGCAGCATCTACCTTGTTTATGAGGGGCTTCTGAGAAACCGTAGCCAGGGATGGATGGGCATATGACCTCGAAAGCAATACCATCGTGGTTCTGTGTGAGAAGGGGCATAATCTTGTAGAACTCATAGAAGGAGCCAGGCCAGCCGTGAACCAGCATCAGAGGAAGGACCTTCTGATTCTCACGATGCGGTGGGCGCACGTGAATGAAGTGCACGTCCAGACCTGCATCATAGCAAAGACGTTGAAAAGAAAAACACACAGAGGGATTATGAGCAATATTTCCGGACAATCAAGAAGTCTCTGTTTGCTCACTGCGAGGTTGCACGTACCTTCTATTCTGGTTTTGAAGTGTGGATACTGGTTAAGCACTGCCACCTGCTTTTTCCAGTCAAACTCATGCCTCCAGTAGGAGACCACTTTCTTGAGATAAGTGGAATTGAAGCCATAATGGAAGCGGCTGTCTTCCAAAGGATCAGTGTAGCGGGTTCTGTCAATGCGCTCATGAAGGTCCTGTTGAATGAGAACACTGTTGATTGCATCACTTATAGGTGTATTAATGCTGTTACTTATTAACAGATATGAGAGGGTTGACTGACAGCACCTCAATCTCTTTGTCTGAGGTTTGCACTGTAAACGGGTAGATTTTCTCATCTTCTGACAGCGGCTTTGCTCCTGCTCCCCACCATCCCTCACCAAGAGGAACAGGTTTCACTCTTCTACTTCTGTGCACCATGTATGCCAGGATCCCCCCTGCTGCTACAGCAGATCCAATCAGAATCTGCTGCTGGACCACATCCAAGCCAAAGAAAGTTTCCCTGTAAAGTGTAGAGAAATCTATGATTGGATTTGCCATATGTGTGCATAAAATTAGAGTATCATGGTAGTAATAGCTCTCTTACTTCAGAGCTTGCAGTCTTTGCATGGTGCCGTTCCAAAGGTGAGCGCACAGGTGAGTTTAACTTCCGACCTGCATTAGGACAGAAGTCAAAAATGTTGAATTTGTCACCACAGCGACTCAAAAAGTTGTGAGCGCCAAAATCCAACCGCCACCAACATACCTTGTTTGCGTCTTTGCAAGTGTCCCTTAAGACAATGGTTCACGATATACAAAAAAAAAAAAGAACACGATTCGCCGTTTCGCACATAAGCAGTCGATCTCAATCATAGACTATGATCTCAACAAGCAGCTGAAGCGAAAAAAAAGGTTTGCTTTTCCGGCCTTGTCGCTGATTGGCTGCGTCGGGAGCCACTCAGAGCGCAGCCCTGACGTCACTGTTTATATAACGGGGAGGCGACGACGATTGAGATTTGTTTTTGTCTTCGTGGATGCGAGTTTACAGGAACGTGATGCTGAAGCTTGTTGTTTTCACGGTTCTTGCGGGCGTTTTCGCCGTCGGGCTGGGGGGTTTAGTGGGGGGCCCCAGCGATGTGGACGTCAACGACGCAGGGGTGCAAAATGCGCTCAACTTCGCCGTCGTCCAACACAACAGGGGCACCAACGATCTGTACCTCAGCCAAGTGGCACAAGTGGTGAAGGCTGAGAGGCAGGTTAGTAACGTTTACACTTGTGAAAGACTGTGTTGTAGATGATTTAAAAGTCAGAATACCAAATCCAGGCAGAAATGTGGCCTTTTGCGTGCCTTTACAAGCTGGGCCTGTTATGCCTCACTGCATAAAGCTTTCATTTCCTCTAGTAATATGCCTAAAATCCATACCACATGGATGTAAGAGGCCTGCACAGCTACTTATCTGTGTACTTTGTGTATTGATCCTAACTGCTGTAGGCAGTGACAAATCATTGCAGGCCCTTAAAAAGCAAACAGCATAATCCAATCCCATCCTGTTTAATCCTGAGCCATCAATCTGTTGCGAAACTTGCAGATGTCTGTCTATCCCCTACAAATAAATAAGCTTTACTTAACATGTGAAGAGTTCATTTTGCAAAAACAGATAACTCCATCTTCACAAACCTTCAAAAAAAAACACTTTTCCATCAGTTATCTCTATTTTGTCATGTCATTTCTAGTGAGTCAAATCCACTCAACTTCAGTTTGATTGATATTATCTCAAGCAAACATTTAAAAAAAATAAGTTTTCTGAAAAATTACAAACATGGAGTTATCTGTTTTTGCAAATGAACTCTTCATATATAAAGGACCAAAAGAAAAAAAAAAGGAACCTGAAAAGAAGCACTTGTTTGCTTAGTTGCTGAGTCATTTACTGGACTTTTGTGCTGTTCTTGAAACTAAATAAACAGCCAACTTGCACAAACACAAGGATAAGCTCATTGAGCAGTGTATCCTTTCCAAGAAATGTGATGCAGCGTTACAGTGGGGTTTTATTCCTGTCCGTATTTGTATTGTATTTTCATGTCTTTTCCTTACAGGTGGTTGCTGGTATGAAGTACTTCATAACCGTGAGACTGGCAAAGAGCACGTGCAAAAAGAACAGCACCAATGAAGTGTGCTCCATCCACACAGACCCAGAGAAGGCCCGGGTAATGACTTTAATAAGACCTCAGCTTCAGGAGAATAAAGACAAATCCCCACTTAATACAACAGTAGACTTGTATTTGAACAAAGACTCCCACAATGTGAAACTTTTTTCTGCTTCCCCTTTTTGAAACAGTGGTTTGTTTGTTGTTGTCACCATGAGGAGAAGTTGCAACTATACATGTCAGAGCCTATCTTCGCCATGATATCTGTGTAATAATGATGTAATTAGTACTACATGATGATTAAGCATATAAAAGACGTTAAACCGGAGTCATTTTAGATGATTAAGTTGAACAAATGACCTCACACTGGTCCGTAAATGATAATATATTTATTCCTTGAATGACTTGAAAGTTTCAGATGACTATGATACTTGAATATGATCAATGTTTTAATAGGTGACATTAAATTCATCATACCCTCTTAAAACCCCAAAGTATGTCATGTTTATGTTTATAAGTAATGATATAATCAGTCTATTCTTAACTTTTTCTTTCAGCCCTACCAGTGCAAGTTTACAGTGTGGAGCCGCCCATGGATAAGTGACATCCAGCTGGTGGAAGAGAGATGCTAGAGAAAGAAACTACGTGGGAAATCGCTTGGATTTGGCTTTGCTTTTCAGAATAACTTTAACTCAGATTGAAATGTATCTTCCTGTAGGTGAACCACAGACGTTTTGACATTTTTATGATTTTACAGCCTATGCTACGTCACTGTACGCTAAATTGAGTAAACATGTTTGAAACTGAAAATATGCTGCGTAGGAATGCAACGTAGAGCTCTACTGACCTTTAGATCAGCAACTTTATAACGCCTAAGCACTAAACCAAGCAAATAACAAGCTACTTTATATTGACTTGTTGATTAACCTATTAAAAACCACGGTTTTAAAATAAAAGTCAAACTGAAGCTGTGAGCTTTAATGAATGTGTCCATGTGCTGAATACACATGAATCTTACCCAGTTGCTGTCCCGGCCTTTTTGTGGAGCGTACATTCTTAGCATCCCTGCCTTTTCTCTGAAATTGGCTACCAAGGATATGAATTTTGTGGAAGAAGTTATAATTCAAGCTGGAAAACAGAATACTAAAAGATATGATTTCCCCCTCCAGTGTTCAGTGAAGTCAATATTTTGTGTCACTTTAACCCTATTCAGGACTTTTGGGGTCTTTTGGACCCCAGGCCATTTGGTTTAGGTGACAGTGCTGGTTTTTCTATTTTTTAAGATTTTTTAATTTTTTTTTAAATAGAAAAAGAGGGACATTTGTCATGCATTTGGAACCAAAAACTATGTCAACTTATTATAAAATGTATTTAACATAGCATAAAAGTCTATAATGAATACCAACAAATATTTTGCACATATTCTTTCTGGGGGTCCAATGGATCCCAAAAGATCTTGTACGTATGGCAACATGGAAGTCCTGAATAGGGTTAATGTAGATGTCCAACACATTTATTTACACAAACTACGGGTGTATTTGAGTATGTGAAGAAAGTGCCTTCAGTAGCAGAAGACCAAACCCCTCCATGGGATGTATCATTGTCCGATAGAGGAGATTGCTGACAACAAGAAATCCTACTAGTGGGTAGAAAAGGCTGGAGAGAATAGAGGTTGTGATCATGCCAGACCAAGAACAGGCACTAAGCACCAGGTCTGAAGAGGCAGAGGTCCACCATAGCAGACAGGAGGCTCCTGAGACAGTCCAGCACATAGAACAGGGTGTAAGCTGTGTGCTGAGAGAGTGTACGATGAGGTGACTGGTGTGCAGGAACATGTGTCCCCAGGAATCAAAAGGGCTAAGACCCTGTGGGACTTCAAGTGTCATACTGATGAGCAGCTGCTGGCTACGCGTCGACGGAGAATAAGAGGATAGAGAAGTACCAAGGGTTAAAGGAACAACTGGAACAAATGTGGAAGGTGAAGTCGACAGTGGCCCCAGTGGTAATAAGAGCATTAGGGGCTGTGACCTAAGGAAAGTAGCTTCGGCTGATTGCGGGTACACTCTCCGTGTCTTCCTCTTCTGAGGGTTCTGTCCTCTATCTTATGTATCACAGTGTCTGTTAGGCGCTAAAAAACAAACGCCACAATCAAATCCTGTCCTGTCTTATACTGCCCCACTGAGCTTTGACAGTTGTGAAATTTGTATGCTTGTGTCTATCTGCCCTACACATAAATGAGCTGTACTTTACACTTCTATAAGGGACAAAAAAGAAAAGAAACTTGTGTTCGCTGCAGAGTACACTCTAATTTTGTGCACATCCTGACACTAAAATTAGATTATTTTTAATTACATATATATGTGTGTATACAAATTCATTTTATCAAGGAAATGATACAAATCAATTTGGAATGGCTAAAGAAGGAGCTTTTATTTTGACACTCCAGACAGGAATGACGTGCGCGAATAAACATGGTTGTTCGTATATATGATACACAAAGTCCCTTACACTGATCTACTGTCAATGATTCATGAGGCTGACCCCTGATCAGTGTGACAGCTGTTTAAAACGACAGGATAAACCAGACTGATCAGGAAAGTCGACCTGTCAAACATGAAGGTTCTGGACAAAGACGAGCTGCAGGTCGTTGAAGAAGTTCTGTTCCGACATTTACCGAAGAGTTACAAGGTAGAAGACAGACAAACGGACACGTTGTTCTTTGTGTCAGCATATGTCTAATGTCAGCTCTGGATGTCTGTCCTTTAGGTCTACGGTTTCGTACATGCTTTCATCAGGAACAAACCGACGACGCTGCAGCTGGTCGTTGATTCGTGGCCAGATTTTAAAGTCATCATTTGCAGACCTGACCCTCTGGTGAGTTCACGTCCCACCGGACAACTGGACACTCAGCCGGAAGCTTTGTCAGGATGGAATTTTTATATCAATAGAAGATCTATTCAGATCTTTTATTTAGGCAAATGTACCAATACATTAGATATAATAGATTATTAATAGTGAAGCATCAGAGTTTAAGAAATATGTTGCTATTGTCACTGCAGATGGAGCTAGTTTGAACTACTTTATATCAAGTGCTGCAACAATTAGTCATCTGCTTTTAAATTAATTACCAACTATTTTGGCAACCTACTGCTCAGTTTAAAAATTGTGAAAGAAAAAGTAAAAAAATTCCAGCTTCTTAAATGTCAGTATTTTCTGGTTTCTTTAGTCCTCTGCAACAGTAATATGCTCGGGTTGTCAACAAAACAAGATGTTTCATTTTTAGAAACACTGATTAACAATTTTCTACTTTTATTTTTTAAAACATTTTTATGACATTTAATAATCAAAACAGCTAATCAAGATATTAAGGAAATATTAGACAAATTATTCAACAATGGAAATAATCAATAGCTGCAGTGCTGCTTTAAATACAATTTTATACACAGGGAAAACTCCAGACTGTGAGATGATTAAAGGAGCAGAAAAGAAAAAAACAAAACAGCTTGTGGATATTTTTCCTCTGATCTATGATTTCGTGTTGAGACATTGGATCAGGTTAACATTTATTTAAATTAAACCATGTTGGAAGTTTCTGAAAAGTAACTAAAGCAGCAAAATGTATATACTGGAACAGAAAATACAACATTTCCCTCTGAAGTGTAGTGGATGTATAAAGTTGCTTAAATTAGAAATACTCAAGTAAACTACAAACTACTTTGAAATTGTTCTGCATAGTTACTTTCTATGACTAAATTGCTGTATGCTACATGACTGTTATATTTAACATTTATTTCACAGAACAAGCGTGCCCTAGACTTCAGGAAAAAGGTAACATACTACAGCATGGATGAACAGGTTTTAAGGAAAATGCTGACAGAAGAGAATGCAGTTGACTGGAGCACTTGTTTCCTAATTGGAGGTAAGTTCAGAGCACTGCAAAAAAAAAAAAAAAAGCACGACTACTTCATTTGCCCCCTTTCCTCTCATTTATTTGGTAGCTGTTGTTATTAGTTTATGCATAAAAGTTTATCCATTTGTATACTCCACCCAGCTAGCTGATAAAATGATAGTATAAGGCATAATAGGATAGAATAGAATAGAATAATATACTGTAATGTAATGTAGTATAAACCTGGAATAGTCAGGGACATGTTTTCTGCCTTTAGTGCCATCACTTTTTCAGGTGCATTTTGCTAGTAATAGGAGTTGCATCCTTTTTAACAGTGTTGTTTTGCTCATTTCACTAAGGACCAAAATACTAACTCCACTATGGGAATGAAAAGAAAAATAACTCAACAAATGAAACATTTTTTGTCCCTCAGGCTTTGACTTTTCTCACGCATCCTTACTCAAGGAAGTGTCCTCTGACAGAAAAGTCAACAACAGAGTCTTTACTTTGGTGCATCTTATGTATTTGCCAGACATCAAGAATCTGCTCGCACCACCGGTTGACAGGTACAGTCAGATCATTAAAATATACTTTAAAGGTCACATATGGTGAATGTCCATTTTTATTGAGTTTTGTTGTTGTAAACTTGGTGGTGTAAAGTAAAATCTGTTAAGATATGAAGATGTTGCCATTCCAACTCGTTAGCCTCTCAGCTATACAAGCCAGTAAGAATTTTTCTCAGCTGCTACATTTTAACAGAGGAACTAATAGTCGTCTGTCTCAAACTACATATTCCTGCCCCATCACTGCATCTGCTTTTCAAGAGTTTTATTGTCATATGCACAGTAAAAACAGGTAGTTGTACTACACAATGAAATTCTTACTCTGTTCAATCTCCCGAAAAAGACGACACATTAAAATAAATAAGAAAAACAAATAAGAACAACAATAAACAATTAAAAGCAACAATAAAGTGTTCAGTTTTGAGCTGAGTCACTCAGAAAGAGTAGCTGCCTCTCAGTTCACCAGGTTTATTTCCTTTTTAGAGCTTCTGCTAACTTTAAAATGTCTCATCCATGAACAAAGAGCGCCAAATGTTCTGCTGTTGATTGCAAGAGTGAACATGCGAATCTTCATGCACTCCCAGCATCTGGGGAACTAAAGACCTAGTGGATTACTTTTATTTTTTAGGACAATGTCACCACGACAATAGGAAAATCCTTAGTGTTAGTGCATTGTGTGGGTAATGTTACCATTGGCTTTAGCAGTGAAACCTAAGAACAGAGCTAAAACCAGTGGTAAATTACCACTGGTAATACAATCATGGTAAAATTAACCATCTTTGCAGTATTTTTAAGCTGAAAATCTGAAAACATGCAAATTCTGAGGACATGTGAGACTTTTATTTATTTGCTGAAAAGGGGCACAATATGGGACCTTTAAAATAAATCTATACATATGTCATATCAACATCAGAAAAGTATAACAACATAGTTTTTTCACTTGTGTGAAAGATTATATTTTTTCGTTACAGTGAGCTTGAATCAAGGATTTCATCTCTTAACCTTTCCCATGTGGACTTGGTGAATAAAACATGGAAGTTCGGAGGGAACGAGCAGAGCTACAGAAACGTCAAAAACTTAATCGGCAACTTCCCATCATGCTGCATCACGGACGGCCAGGGTCAGCCGGTGTCCTGGATTCTGCTGTATGATTACTGTGCCATGGGCTTGTTGTACACTCTGCCAGAGCACAGAGGAAAAGGCTACGCCAAAGTGTTGGTCAGCGCCATGGCCAAGAAACTCCACGCTGAGGGCTACCCTGTGTACTGCTTCATAGAGGAGGACAACATGGTGTCTTACAAACTCTTTAAAAGCCTGGGCTTCATCGAGGATGCCTCTTACAGGGCAGGGTGGTTTGAGTTCAACTTTTAGTTTTGATTAAACGTATGGCTGATGTTTTTTCAGTTAAACTTTCTTCACATGAAAAAATATGATAGTCATGCCAAGTAATGCAAATCAAAGGTGATTATAAAGATATATACTATTTCATTCTGAAGATATTTTAAGTGCTGTAATAGTAATCACTCTTGTTATACAGTGTATTTTAAATGTGAAATTTATGTGTCCCAAAGCACGACATTAAATAAATAATACAGCAATAAAGGTCATTTTTTACAACATGCACATCCTACAGTATCTACAAGAGACATCAAAATGAAGTTGAGCTGGATTGATTTACTCTTTGCTTCCTGTTAGTGCTGAATAATTATGAAATTATCCGTGCCCCATACAAATAATAGTAACTCTGGTTTTCCAAAGTAAAGACATGTCATGCATATCACAGAGAGTATGTTCTCATTTATACAGTACCGTCAGATCTCTAATGGGTTTTTAATGTGAACTTTAACTACAGCACTTTTTAATGTCCTCTTTTCTATTTTCAAAAATGTTTGTCCCCCTTCAATGTCCGTAGAAAACTACGTACGAGAGTTTTAATGACTTTTATTTTGAAATCGGCCTAAAATATAGATATTCAAGCAGTGTTTCGCAAGAGGCGCTGTTTTAACAAAACGTTCAATAAGACTGATGTGACTTTTGCGAAAAAGTTTTGCGAGATCCCGACAAAAATTCGCAAGAATTCGCAAAAGATACCTCTATTTATTTTTTCCCCCTCTCCCTGTTTGTTTGTTTTTTCTTCCCCCCCCCTTCTTTCTCCATGTCCCTTCCGGGGTTCCGTAGAAAATTACTGTTCAACAAGAGTGTTAACTTCAGGTTTTCTTCAGGTTAAGAAAACAACAGAAAGACCGCCCTGTTTCCATTTGGTCGCTCACCCTCTGCAGACTTTCCCATTTTCTCAGTCTCTACGCTGAATTTTACTACAGTTTCCTTCGTATCCCTGTCTGGAAACATACTGTAACCAAAACAATGACCATGGAACTGACAGACGATCAGCTGAAAGTGGCTGAGACAGAACTGAAAAGATACTTACCTCGATCACAGCAGGTTTGTACACTCACATCTACTACATATTTTATTCTATAAGCTCTTCGTCTTGATTTTGTTGTTGTCGCTTTTGAATACTCACTGACTCATAAGTGACTTGGATTTGACTTTTAGATGTACGGGTTTGTGGTGCTCAGAAACAGGGTCGCATCACACCGTTTGCAGATTGTCGTGGACAAATGGCCAAAGTTCAGCGTCATGATCTGCAAACCACCGCGTGGACAGGTACGCGTGTGCGCTGAAAACACGCACAGTGACTTTGTGTATTTTTGCAGACAGCATCTTTCACTTCTCATTTTTCTTGTAGGAAAACAATCCCTTCAGAGTCATATTTTTCTTTGCGACCGATGAAGTTATTCTGGAGGAAACCATAAAGAAGACTTCTGTTATTGACTGGACCAGGCAGTTTGGTCTAGGTAATAATTATTACCTAGTTATTTGTTAACAACACGCACTTTATCCTTGAATAGCACTGTGGAAATCAGCTCGTTTTTAAAATATCTTTTATCAGAAAATTACTCTCACATAATGGCTCTATTATGGGGTATTGCAATGTATTTTAATTTACTCATTTCCAATATTAAAAAAAA